ATAATTTACACTGAACAAAAAACATTAGGGATCATGAATATTTGATGGATATTTAAAAACATTTTTATTGGTATATGAAGACTGAGCATACAATTTCATAAAAATATCCCCCAAATATTCATGATCCCTAACTTACTTTGTTCAGTATACATCACTTGTCTGGGTCAGGCAGGGAGTGAGTTAGTGAGTTTGGCTTAACGCCGCTTTTAACAGTATTCCAGTTATATCGCGGCGTGTCAGCTTAATGTGGGAGGAAAGCCCGAAGTGATGCAGGTCTCAGACGTTTACCACTTCGGTGAAACCCACGAGCACGGGTATGGTGCTGACAAACCTAGAAACATAATCGGGGCGAACCGGGATTCGAACCCACAATCATAGGTTTCTGGCGTGCCAAGGGGCGCAACTCTGCACAGCGAATCGCAGCGCCTTAGACGACTGGGCCACCCGTGCCCCCGGGTCAGGCAGGGAAGCAGCGATTTGTTATCAAAGGTTTTAACATAACAGGCTCAGTGGTAATAAAATAATGTTTAAACTTGATTTGTTTTTTAACACAGCTGGTTGTTAGTGTTGGCAGATGCGTACACCAGACAAAAATAACCAGTAATAAACAAGCAGGAAACAACTGCCCTTGGTAACATGTTAGCAATGTGCTACACAATACTATGTGTGATATATACATATGTACATTGCGCTATATACACATAGCTTCCACCCATACAGACACTGTACAGGTATCGCAAACAATGTTTATTGCACCTTGAGCACGGACAATCATCAGCATCGAATCTGAAAGTTTTTAATGAACAAGTTTGATAAAAAATATCATGATTTAGACCCAAGTTTACTTAAATAGGAAGTATTCACTACATGTGAACTTTGGAAGGAAATATTTCATAGGTTTTATAATCTGAAAAATATATCAACTGCTTTACCAGATGTTAATTTAACACTAACATAACAACATTCGCAGTATATATTCATTCAATGTTTGGTTTGCTGTAGGTTTAAGGTGCAAGATCAGCGATGAAATGAATACGATTTATCACAGTTCCATTTGATATGGGAGACATCTGCCGAATATGTTTGTTTGTTTGTTTGTTTGTTGTTTAACACAGCACACAGCAATTTCCAGCTATATGACAGCGGTCTGTAAATAATCGAGTCTGGACCAGGCAATCTAGTGATTGATGTCATGAGCATCGATCCAAGTAATTGGGATACAATGACATGTATCAACAAAGTCAGCGAGCCTGACCACCCAATCCTATTAGTCGCCTCTTACGACAAGCATAGTCGCCTTTTACGTCAAGCATGGGTTGCTGAAGACCTATTCTACCCCGAATCTTCATTGGTCCTGCCTAATATGGGACATTTATTTCCTGTCACTTGGTGAAGATACGGGGCACTAGACAAAGGGGCATTTAAAGATAGGTTTTGCTCCATAAACTTTGTATCATGCTAAAAAAACAATAGCACAAAACCATCTCTCTGAAACAATGCCAATGAGGAGCTGTGGGTTCCAGAGTTTGAGGGTGGATGTATTAGGCTCTAAAAACAAACCCCAAAATTAGCTTTATTTTAAATATATCAACCTATTTTTCTCTTGACTCATTAGCGACAGAAAACATTGATCCTGCACCTTCAACCTGTGGTCATTCTGCCTGCCACTGCTAGGGCTTAAAACCACTCTTCACCTTGATCCAGGAGCGTCCAGGGCCCTGGACAAAACCTTAGAAAATGACACATTATATCATGGAATACAACATAACATACAGTGAAAATTTCTTATTTGGATGGCTTGTGAAATCCATGGATTTTCCTCGATGTTTTAACCTCTTAACCACATCAAAAACTAGAAGGAAAGTGTCAATACACCAATACAAAGGAATACCAACTCAGAGACCTGGTTCATGAAATCTGGTATGATATACCGGTATATATACAATAGGCATTTATGTAGCAAATCAAGACTTTATCAATTTAAACATAAGGACAATTGTAAGCATTTGTACAGTTAGAATATATGTTGAACTCAGATATGCTAGGTCTCCAATCTGTGGCAGTTTGTCTGAAAGAGATGTTAAATCCCATTCATGTATGACATCACACTATAACATCATAAACACAGTAAGTCATTTCTGCTAGGACATCATGTTGACGCACCCTTCTTCTGGTCAGTTAATCTAGGAGATATACATACTGTTTACAAAGTTACGTTACCTTTAGATTTAATCACGCTTAATTAAGTTTAGAATTGAACGAATAGCATGAGGTTTTAAATGTAAAATTTTCAGTCCCAATAATTGAGAAAGAAATGATTTTCTATATATTAGCTTCCATGGTGAAGCAGACATTAAACAGCTGTTTCAATCAGAGGTGATTATATTCATTTGAAACTTCTGACTGACCAATCAGAATGCAGAAATTTCAAAATTCACGGTAGAATATAGCATTTGGGTGTTTAAATTGCTAAACAATGTGAATTTTTCACAGTTTATTACTTTCATGGACATGACAGACGGATATACAGGAAAGTGAGTTCACTGGCACAAACATTTGATGCAGACGACAGATATTGACTACTTTGGTGAAACTGATGAGAATAACTCCTTGGCAGATTCTGCTATGAATCAGGGACACAGGAATACACAGGGCACAGAGAATAATGCTGTCTTTACACATTCGTGACCAACTTGTTTTATTCCGGAACAAGCCGAATAGCCACTCATGCACCTCTCGTGGCCATGTTTGCGACTGGGTTCCGTCTAAGCGCAAACAGCCATAGCTAAAAGAATTGTCAACTCCTTGCGTAATGACTCAAGTATATTTCCCCATATATCATATATATTCCAGATGCTATATAAAACACATACAGTATTATACAATATGATTGAACACATTTGACTGTATCTTGCGTAAATCTTTAGATGCAGACATATGTAAAATCAAAAATTATTCCTGAGAGGATTCTTTGACCGAAGTACTTGAAGTCATACACGCATTCTGATTGGTTTGTCGTATTTTCGCACATAACATTCATCGATAGGGGGATGAGTTTTCTTGCAGGTTATGGAAAGGGCAAGTGGTGGTGACTGGTTTTTACAAAACTGAGCCTTGCCCCTGACATACAAGACAGGAATTGATATATACCACTGATCTGAGAATCTGCCACAGATCCGAGTCCTACCATGGAACCTAATCTTACATGCATAACACCATATTATCACAACCTGACATTATGTTTGAATTGCCTGTTGAAAACAATCAACATTGACATCACAATGCATAATATATCAATGCGGTTGACTCTCCAAGCATCCATCGACTACCATGCCATTTTATGTGCTCATTAAGCTAAACACAGAGAAATGGGGCTTCAGCATGTCATTTTACACTTCTCTCAGCAAAAGTACTGTATAGGGAAGACAGAACATTAAACTTACAAAGTACTCTTCTTGGGAGTCAAACCTGACAGGCAAACACCCTAACCACTTGGCTACACCACTTGTTAGGTGCGACCAATGACTGGAATGTCGCTGTTGATGGAGTGAGTGAGTATGGTTTTACGCTGCTTGTAGCAATATTCCAGCAATATCACGGCGGGGGACACCAGAAATGGGCTTCACACATTGTACCCATGTCGAATCAAACCTGGGTCTTCGGTATGACGAGTGAATGCTTTAACCACTAGGCTACCCGACCACCCCTCTGTTGATGGAGACGACCTGAACTAGTCCTACAGGGATTTATCAAGGCCTTCTCAGAGGCCATATGCCACCCAAAGTCTGAAATAAATGGCAGTAAAACTTCCCAAATTGAAACTAACTATTTGATCAATCATGTTATTTTCACGATTATATTAATAACAAATGTTATTGCTTTGCAGAGGTGACTTACATTTCACTGATAAAATAACCATTGAACAAGAAGATGCTTTAATGTTTAAGTTTTAAATCTTGCATTTAAAAAAATATATATTGACTTTTAAGAAAATCCCAATAGGGAACTAAATTATGCTTTCCCGCCAATTTGTCTGCCATGGGGACATGGAAGCCTTCATAAATGTCTATCATAGCTATCAGGTCTTGACCAGAACGAAAAGATGATGGTTGCTGTTAACCACTATTTTGGAATGCATTAGTAAGCTAAGGATCAAAGTCAAGGTGAGTCTGGGTCCTGCTTCAGCTAAGGGACACAACTCTGTACAGCAAGTCTGTACGCCTCTGTGCTACTTACGTTGGACTATACACAACAGCAAGGTTTGATTGTGTACAACAGACTAAAATGATTACTGTTACCATGACAATGTGCTAAGATCTTCAATAGTCAATACACACACACATAGGATTTCTCTGGCCAATCACAATTTGGTAAAATATAATACACCACAAGAAATTATAAACTTATTCAAAAAGATATTCACAAACCGACAAAGCATTGAACAGTTGAGTGATTTCATACCATGAATATAAAGAGAGATTGAAAAGTCCAAAAAAACATACCACTGTTGTCATAAACTTCTTTAAGGTTTGACTTAAAAACGAAATCGTGAATCTTAAAATTTAGATTTCTTCAGTTTTTTAAAACTAAAGATTGATTTTAATCCAAATGTATTGGGAGGTAGGGTGAAGGTAGATGGTCTACACAACCATTATAAGATACTGAGAAAATATTTACAAAGAGACAGAATTGGTCTGGGTTTTATCATACATAATGTAGCATATCAATCAGAATAACAAACATAATGAGTCATAACATACAGGTACGTATTAAAAGTACCGTATTCGACGTAATATGCGCCCAGGGCGCACTCAAACTTAGAAATAGGGGGCTCTTATTAGAATATCATTTTGGTGAGAAAAAAAACAGAGTTGAAAGATAAATTTCGTGGTTTATGCTGACAGCCTGAAATGTTTATGTACGATATATTTTTCCAGAATTTAATTGCCCCTAATTAAGGGTGCATATAACACACGAGTGCATATTATACACGATTAAATAAGTCTTGTGTACATTGATCAATCAGAAGGGGTGCTAATTGGGATTGTTCACTAGCCAACATATTAGCAAATATCACTGTGGGCGCTTATTAGAGCGGGGCGCTTATTACGTCGAATACAGTACTTTCATAAATAAAGTGTCATTAATTCATTTACAAAGTGAAGCTGACATTTTCATTCATAGTTAAAAACTAAATAATACAAAGGAGTATGTGAGTTTCTCTCAAGAAAACACAAAAGTACATGTATCGAGTTCTATGATATTAACATATACTTAATACAAATGTGACTAGTGAATCACAGGAAGGTCACTGACTCAAGGACATCATCAAACATAATATAAAACATAGACCCTGTAGAAACTAGGCTAAGAGCCAATTCCCTCCAATTAACCTGTTTCTGTTGAACTTCATCTTCCTGAGGCAAAAGATTTAACTGACTGTAAAAGACCAGTTTCCACCCTTGCTCAACTAGGCTGTAATTTCTGGGCTCGATCGTAGGACCACCAGTAGCTATTACGAGTTATGTCCCTTCTATGTCCTTCCAAAGACCAATCAGATTCCACCTCTCATATCACTTGCATTTGCTTCAAAGAAAATGACGAAAGCAATCTTGTCAACAATTATCCAAATTTATATTGTGATAAAACAGGTCTTACTTTGCAAAGCACCTTGACAAAAAATATTTATAAAAGGATTCGGAAAATATCTGTTGATGCTGAGTTGGAGTACACATGCTTAGCAAATCCTGCTATCGACCGAAATCTGCATGGCAGTCTACGAACCGGATGTCAATTTCGTTATGCGATTTTGATTGGGCTATGCATAGACTTGTTAGTCCAGCCAAACTGTAGCTCCATAATTCCTGCCTAATTCGGCAAGGGTGGAAACTGGACTTTCATAGTCAGTTAACTCCCTTGCCTCGGGAGGATGTTGAACATTCAGTTCTTACCATTCTCTAATCATTACATATTACAAAAACAAGATCCATATTCATGGCATTCTGCTGGTTGGGGACAAAAAAACAGAGAAGGCAGAAGAAAACTCTTCAACACCGAGTCATCAATTCTTTAATAAAATGTCAAAGTTCTACCATGACAAAATAAATTGGAGACACTATTGTTAGTGTAGAAGAGAGAAGGGGCACTGGTTGAGTCAGAGTTGGGTAGGTTTCCGATTTGATTTAGGAACCACTGACAATAGACTTCAAACAATGCATGTTACTGTGTTCTTAAACATTATTTATTCATCAATGTATTTTACTTGTATGCATGATGCACATTCATATAGGACGCTGACTAAGCTATTGAGTACCAGCTTCATGTGGAAGAAAATGCAAGTCCTAGACAAAGATAAATTGCCCAGAAATATAACATTAATTTTGATTGTCTGATTTTGCACTGTGAAGCGATACACTCCTAAATGGCTATTAGCTTTGCCTCTGCAGTGGCCAATGTGCAACCACAGCTAAACTGCTACCATGCAGTGGCTTGAAATCCACAAAGCATCAACTACATCAGCATCTCTTCCAGAAACCTAAAACTTGTACCTAAAACACAAATAGTATTGAGTACTACAAATGTCTTTTATATCTGCTTTGGTCTGAATCATATAATTAAAATAAAATCTACTTTAATTAAAGACAGAAATTCAATTTAATAAATATGTTCTCAGGCAAATACCTTTTTATGGCTTTCAAGCAGTCAATATTTCAGTGAGAAAAGTGGGATCTACTTTAATTAAAGACAGAAATTCAATTTAATAAATATGTTCTCAGGCAAATACCTTTTTATGGCTTTCAAGCAGTCAATATTTCAGTGAGAAAAGTGGGATCTACTTTAATTAAAGACAGAAATTCAATTTAATAAATATGTTCTCAGGCAAATATCTTTTTATGGCTTTCAAGCAGTCAATATTTCAGTGAGAAAAGTGGTATTATAGTGTCTGTAGTCGTATGTTTTGTCCAAATACAGGGATAAAATGTTCTTAGTTGTCCTTCATCACTGTTCCTTAACATGTCCACATGATAGATTCATCAGTCCCCGATTTCAAAACAGGCAGCCTGGGACCAAGCATCCAACAGAATGCCGTCCCTGGATGTCCCAGTAAGTCTCTCTCCACGCCATGTCTGTGATGATAATATACAGTATATACACACATGAATACAGCACTTGTACCTCAGTGGTACTGAAATGGTTAAGGAATGAACAATGAAGATGTTTTGTTCACAACATGGGAATACTTGAAGCGGATCGTCATGATCATAAAACACAGGGGACGCATAGTCGCTCAACCAATTCAAGATGACGGAGCATAATGAGCACTTTGTACAATGAATACTGAACCACGAGTCAGTCACATACTTAAGTTTTGGATTACATGTCTTTGATGACAAACCTGATCAATAAAAGCAAGAAAGCTGGATATCAGAGGTGTGCTGTTAACTTCACAGCAACTGATTCCAAATGTTTACACAGTTTATTAGATCCGAGTACCTGATTCAGTAGGGACAAAGTTCACTACTAAGATCTTAGCAACTGATCTCAATTGCTAAGATCCCAGTTCCTGATTCAAACTGTGTACAGGATATACAAAGATCTTCGTACCTGGTTCAAAAAGAGTTCAGGGTTCACTAAGATCTTAGAAACTGATTTAAAATGTCAACAGGGTTTACCAAGACCTTAGACGCCAATACAGCATGTGTAGAGAGTTCACAAATACTTTGGAGACTAATTCAAATGTGTACAGTTGTAGAAAATACATAAGTCTTTGATCCATTCACACAATCTTATTGCTGTCCTTGTAACGGGGAACATTTCTATCATCTACTCCATCAATAAATTGAGGGAAATACAACTTCAAGAGCACATATGGTTAGTCGTTACCATTGTTCGTTCTCTACATTGCGTCAGACAAAGGCGCCTTTCTAGGATCTCATTCACACCACTGTCAATGGTTCCTGTCAGATGTGCTTGGCGCTATGTAAAGGTTTACTATTGATATCGGTACTTGACATCTGGTGGTCAGGAAATGTCAGCCAATGATTACCTTCAGAGACAAAAGCAGTATAATTATTTCAACACTGACCATTTGCAACCTTTCAGCAGTCTGCTTTCAGTAACTGACAAATGCTCAAAACAGAGGCTATGTTTTCATTTATCTCAGTTACTGATCATGTTAAAAAGATATTTCTAAACAGGACAGTAGTATCCCTCTTTTCTTTCTCTTATGCACTAATTCAATACCTTTGTTCACAAGATAAAAATCTGCCAGTGTCATTCAGATATTTTGCGGCCTTCAGCAAACAAAAACAAATTATTCTAATTTTAATTTATCTTACTTTCCCAAAGCTAAGATTGGTGATCAGCAAGCTAGTGAGTAAAGTACATCATCAGTAAGGCAAGTGAGTGAGTGACTTTTGCTTAACACAGCACCAGCACCACATTGGCAGCTATTCAAAGCAGGTAATTGTTACAGGGGTCAAATCCTATTCATTAGGCCTCCAGAAATAGTATCAGGTCCTATAGCTAGACTCATTGAAGAAACAGGTCCTTCAAAAAACACTGGATGAACAGAGGAGATGCCACTAGCCTGACTAGATGTCAAGTGTTGAATGTGTTGATTGCTTGTGCTGTGGTTGCCTGTGTTGGTTGCCTGTGCTGGTTGCCTGTGTTGGTTGCCTGTGCTGGTTTCCTGTGTCGGTTGCCTGTGCTGGTTTCCTTTGTTGGTTGTCTGTGCTTGTTTCCTGTGTCGGTTGCCTGTGCTGGTTGCCTGTGTCAGTTGCCTGTGCTGTGGTTGCCTGTGTTGGTTGCCTGTGCTGTGGTTGCCTGTGTTGGTTGCCTGTGCTGGTTGCCTGTGTCGGTTGCCTGTGCTGGTTTCCTCTGTTGGTTGCCTGTGCTGGTTGCCTGTGTCGGTTGCCTGTGCTGGTTGCCTGTGCTGTGGTTGTCTGTGCTGGTTGCCTGTGTAAGTTGCCTGTGTTGGTACTGTCACGTGTACTGTGCTGGGTGGTTCTTGGGCTGATGCTTCCTTGGCAGATGACTGTTATGTGATCCTTGTGAAGATTGTTGATGATGAAATGTCCAAATATCAGTCGATGATCTGAAACTGTGGGACTGGTTCACACTTCCAGATAACCTGGGTCTGGTTCGTGTTGGCAGACAACAGTCTATCAGCTGCACTGTCTACTTCAGATGTCTGCTTGTCATCTGTTTCACTATTGTTCACAGAGGCCTGACTCTCTTCTGAAGGAATGTCGGCACTATCACTGGACATCTGCCTGTCACTGACAGACACACTGGAGACATCAGACATCTGTCTCGGGGCTTCTGCTGAAGTCTGGATGAAGGTGTAGCACAGTACGTTGAGTCTGTAGAAGCCGGGGGAGTGGAAGACGAAGGCACATGAATGTTGGAGGCTGGCTGAATGGGGAAGCTGTAACCAAAACCAAACAGTGTAATAAAAGATTGACTCAATGTTAATGCGTGAGTTGTGTTCTTTGCCAACAAAAGCAGGTAGCTGAGAAAAAAGGGGTTTAACATCGCATTCAAGATTATTGCACTTATATTGTGACATGCATGCATGTTCTAACCCAGACTAATGCCTGTTTTATAGTGGGAGACCTCTGAGATACCATGCCACAGTTTAACATGAATACCCCACTCAGACACAGTATACTGACTCCAAACTGACCAGTCCTTGTTTTATCCCATTAATGCTGCCACGTAGGGCAACTACAAGTAACATCTTTTAATGTCTTTTTTTTGGACATGGCCGGGAATCTCCCTCTACTAGATCAAGGTGTTTGCCAAATAGAACAGGATGCTGGAAACTCATCGTAACTACCTGATCCCCATTTAATCAGCTAGTAAACCTATTCTGCCCCAGGGCAGTGTTATGACAATGTATATGATTCTGCTCTACACAATCGATTTCAATATTCAACCAAGACAAGAACAGCAAGTGATTCAGAAAGACGGCAGGCAGAAGATGACCACATTACCTGTGAGACACATAGAGTATTGACTCCAAGGACGGACACCTCGTGGCATGCTGTCACCTCGTCACCACACACCTGCACTGGCTCCATCTCGAGCATCACCTGGGACTGCTCGCCTCCTGCAAGACATATACATGGAAATCACAGCCATCACAGAATAAAGGGGCATGATTCATCTCAACTTTCCACTGCAGAGTTCCAGATCCCTGGCAACCCAGTTCTCATACCTTAAGGTGTCAAACCTTTCATACTGAGGCCATACTTCTGTGTAAATAATCCATATTGGTAGTCATGGCCGCTAAGAACAAAAATATAACAAACAAGGACATGTCAGATGTATTTTTCCTTCAAATCGTTATTGGAATAGGTTACCTTGTTATCTGTGTTAATCAATTGTCAGTCTTGCAGATTAACCTATTGTACACACATTGTTCTTGTAGTGAACACATAGATTTGCAATCATTGGAATAAGAAATACACAGTGCTTTTCAGATTTAGTTATTTGCCCACTTTTCATTATTTTGTGTCCATTTAATCCATAAACCCCTCTTTAAAAAAAGCCTTGCCTGACTGAAAAAAACGCATTGATAGACTGTGTTAATGGTGCGCAAGTCATTGTCAGAAAACTCGTTCCCTTCCATTTACTGTTTTACGATAATGTGATTTAATGGTCAACAGTATAGTCTGAAAACCAAACTCTGAGTCCAACGAATGATAACTTGATATATTTTCATAATAAGGTCCCAGGCCACAACATCTCATGGTGTGAGTGAGTGAGTATGGTTTTACGCCGCTTTTAGCAATATTCCAGCAATATCACGGCAGGGGATACCAGAAATGGGCTTCACACATTGTACCCATGACGGGAATCGAACGGGTCTTCGGCATGATGAGCGAACACTTTAACCACTAGGCCACCCAACCGCCCCTCTCATGGTATGTGTTTGTTTGTTTGTTGTTTAATGCCACACTCAGCAATATTCCAGCTTAATGATGGCGGTCTGAAAATGATTGAGTCTGGACAAAACAATCCAGTGATTGACATCATGAGCATCGATCCACGCAATTGGGATACGATGACATGCATCAACCAAGTCAGCAAGCCTGACCCCCCGATCCTGTAAGTCGCCTCTTACTACAAGCATAGTTGCCTCTTATAGCAAGCATGGGTTGCTGTAGACCTATTCTAACCCGGATCTTCACGGGTCCTCATGGTGTGTGAGTGGAATTGACACATTGTAACCATTTTGAGAAGTGAACTTGGGTCAGCTGGTTGTCAAGTGAACATTTTGACCACCAGACTACCCTACAGTTCCTGTTGTAGCTCAGTGTGCAGTTGCTGTTCTTCTGTATCTCACCTCTCCTGTTGGTGAGCGCCACCTGCACGTCCAGTACATCACTGAGGGAGAACTTTGGCACATCAGGGGACAGGTACAGCTGGTCATTGAGGCGAACCTCTGCAATAGCAACATTCACACATTGTTACAGTAACGTCACTTATATTATGATGAAAGTCTTCCTTTCTGTAGGCAACCTGACAGAGCATTGATGTTGTAAAGTGTTATATTCAGTCAGGATTACTGGGTCACCTGGGTGAATTAACATGGAAGGTACTGCCCTTATTTATCAGCCTTCTAGATTTAGTTGTTTGTTTGTTTGTTGTTTAACACCGCACTCAGCAATATTCCAGCTATATGACGGCGGTCTGTCAATAATCGAGTCTGAACCAGACAATCCAGTGATTGATAACATGAGCATTGATCCACGCAATTGGGATTGATGACATGCATCACCCAAGTCAGCGAGCCTGACCACCCAATCCCGTTAGTCGCCTTTTACGACAAGCATAGCCGCCTTTTATGGCAAGCATGGGTTGCTGAAGACCTATTCTACCCCGAAATCTTCACGGGTCTCAACCTTCTAGAGATAAAGAGCTTACAAATATCACAATGGTACTTTGATTTGGTTAATCATGATAATCTAGTGTATGCCAAGTTCTTAGTTCCAACATGTCAAAGTATGAAAGGGGTTTTCTATTTTACAAGTTGAGATGGCCCTTGAGAAGAGTGAGTGAGTGAGTTTATGCTATACATCACATCGGCAATATTTCAGCCATATCGTGACGACCCTTGAGAAGGAACACCAGTGAGAGCCTCCGGGAGCATTCCAAGTCATTGCATTGTCCCTCAGCAACCTATGCTGGTCGAAAGACAAAATGAATCGGGTGGTCAGGCTTGGTGACCCGCATGTCGTCCTGCCCGACATCATGGATGTTCCTCATTATCAATAACTGGATTATCTTGTCTAGACTTTATTATTGACAGGCTGTCGTCATGTGTTTGGAATATTGCTGGTGTGCAAGTTCTAAATGCAAACAAAGAAAACCAGTTGGAAAACCATTCTAAGCCATAACAGTCAAACAGAGTCTTGAGAGTATGAAATGCAAGGCCATTACAGTAAAACATGGCCCTGAGTTGGTGTTGCAAGGCCATTACAGTAAAACATGGTCCTGAGTTGGTGTTGCAAGGCTATTACAGTGAAACATGGTCCTGAGTTGGTCATGCAAGGCCAACACTGTGAAACATGGTCCTGAGTTGGTCATGCAAGGCCATTACAGTAAAACATGGTCCTGAGTTGGTCATGCAAGGCCATTACAGTAAAACATGGTCCTGAGTTGGTCATGCAAGGCCATTACAGTAAAACATGGTCCTGAGTTGGTCATGCAAGGCCAATACAGTAAAACATGGTCCTGAGTTGGTTATGCAAGGCCATTACAGTGAAACATGGTCCTGAGTTGGTCATGCAAGGCCAATACAGTGAAACATGGCACTGAGCTGGTCATGCAAGACCAACACTGTGAAACATGGTCCTGAGTTGGTCATGCAAGCATTACAGTAAAACATGGTCCTGAGTTGGTCATGCAAGGCCATTACAGTAAAACATGGTCCTGAGTTGGTCATGCAAGGCCATTACAGTGAAACATGGTTCTGAGTTGGTCATGCAAGGCCAATACAGTGAAACATGGTCCTGAGTTGGTCATGCAAGGCCAATACAGTAAAACATGGTCCTGAGTTGGTCATGCAAGGCAATTACAGTGAAACATGGTCCTGAGTTGGTCATGCAAGGCCATTACAGTGAAACATGGTTCTGGGTTGGTCATGCAAGGCCAATACAGTGAAACATGGTCCTGAGATGGTCATGCAAGGCCATCACAGTAAGACATGTTCCTGAGTTGGTCATGCAAGGCCAATACAGTAAAACATGACTCTGGCAGAACAAACACACTCTCCACTCACTCGCACCACGGACTTCCACCTACCCCACATTACAGGAGATTTCTGGATTAACTCTAGCTGGTTCTTGCTCCATATCAGGTGCTCAATGCCAAGTTTACCACTCACTTTGGTGGCAGGCTGAAGTTCTTGTTAAGAAAACATCATACACCAGACACAATTCAAATCATAATAACTTTTGGTGGTCCAAGGTATTAACATCAGTATAGTAGCTTGCATGTTACATAAACTGATATCTTCACTTGGTAAGAAATGCACTGAAAGGTAAGTATGCCATTGGTCAATGTTGGTTAATTTTCTTCAATCTAACATTGAAATCTACCCAAATAAATTTCAGGCTGTAGAACATATGCCATGATGCCAGTATTATGTGGGGGAATCTAGTGAAGCGTGCCACACCACGCCAGCTTGGGACCCCTAAGTTGATGCCTTGCACCCCCAAAAACTATAATTGAGTCCCCTCAACTCGAAAATAAGTCAGACCCAGGTAAATCCCTGTGTCGGTGTAACATGCAATCTACAATTTTGAATAGTTTTAATGATTCATGGTAGCTGGAATATTGCTGAGAGCGGCTTTAAACAACAAACCAAACCAAAAAATGATTCATGAAGCCATACTGAATACTTTAAATGGCATCAGTTAGGTATTTGGACTGCATAATACTAGAAATAAAGCCAATTTGATTATTCAAATGGAAGAGTGGATAATACATTTTCCAGTATTTCATGGTTATTCAAATAGTTCTTGTATACCATAACATTCTATATTGAAGAAAATCAATAACTCTTATCACTGTCTATACATAATCATCATTGTATGGCCACCTCTATAACCAAGGATACAATTGTCCACCTGATGTCCACATAGTCTGCCAGGTACTGACTGTGGTGATTGACAGGTCGGCACTGCCGATACACACTTGGCATGCACGGTGAAGCATCATGTCTCGTCTCCTCAGGTGGGAAGTCAACACGTGGGATTTCTACAGCAATCCTGAAATCAAACAACAATTTCTATAAACCAGAGTCATCAGGAGATGACATATACGCCCGGTCTGGAGCAATTCAGAAATGAGTTTGGCTACTTATGCCCCTCTACTGGTTCACTGCCACTGGATACCTTCAGTCCAGTGAAGAAAAACCTAATGCTGTTCACTATTTTCAGATTTCAAAATCCCAAATTATCAAAAGGCACAAGTTCACCACTAGACTGATCTGTATAACACGTTCCATGCTGAAACGCTTTTGGAGTTCTGCTCCAGAAATGAGCACTACCCTCATTTTCAGATCTTGGTGTCTGTGTTCGACAGCCCACATTGGTTAAATTGTGACGCCCACAAGTGGAGTCCCTCCACATGGCTTTGCTGGAACATTGCTAAAATCTGTGCAAAAATCACAGCTACTGCCACCAAAAGGTGGGGCACAGGGACCAAGTGATGGACTGTTCAGTTGTGCCATTTAGCCTTGCAAGGATCTGGGTTCAGGTCATGGGTTCAAATTTCAGTGTTGTCCATTTATATTTGTTTATTAATGCTGCTCTCAGAAATGTTCCAGCTATGGACAAAAGAACGTGATCGATATTGTGAGCAACAATCCAGGCTATTGGAGTAAGATGACACGCAATCAACCAAGTCATTGAGTCTGACCATCCAATCCATTAAGTCCCTTACGTCCAGGGATGCTGGGATCTGTTCTTATCCCCAGAGGGTGTCCAGTTATGATCCATCAGGTTAGCACCACATGCTAAAGAATTTTATAAAATATATGACCAGTGATACTTCAGACTTTCCTCATTAAGTTGATTGCTGTGACAACTGAAATCCTGTTCAAAGGGGCATTAGTTCCTTGGGCTGGGATGCGTCTAAATTTACTACCTGGGTACCCGCCCCACTATTACCCGACCCTACCCGGGTACCCGCTGAAGGTCTCAAGAGTTGGGTACAAAATGTCTGATTGGGAATTGTTTTACTGCAGCCCTGGTAAATGTATTTAGATACACGTATAAAACGATCTGGTCATGCATATACTGAAGTTGACTGAAGTTTTATCTTTATTCAAACATATAGAGGTCAGAAGGAATGGGTGCAAAGTCAGATAGAAATGCGAACGTTAGTGACTGGTAGTGTAACCATAGAATTATAGATAATTTGGGTCATTAAACAATATATCATGTGACTAACCATGGGTAGTCCTGTGGGTACCTGGGTCCTTCTCAATACCCACCCGACCCGAGTACCCGAGTTACCCGTCCCAGCCCTATTAGTTTCAATTATTTGCCTCAAGATTTCATTACAGCTCTCAGCTGACATCTTTCATTTCAGAAAAATAAAGCCATGGAGTATTTATTTCCCTCCCTGAGTACAGGCTGGGACTGACCTGCGACACTGCTGTGGTTCTGTGATGATTGTCTTGCCGTCTTGGTACTCTAGATCTAGCTGGTGGCTTGTCACGTTCTGTATGTCAAACAGTATCACACAATGCTCTCGGCTGAAAATGAGATTTTGTGGCACATTCAAAACGTGAAAAGTTTAATTTGTTGTGCAATATGTGACAATTATTAACATTACTACATGTACGGACAGGAAATGACAGAAACCTTCCAGAAATTAAATTTACTGTAGTTAAACATCACGTACTGTTATGAAAATTAACAGAGCAAAAAGGCAAACAACGGAGTTTAAGCTTTTCTTCTTGCACACACTGATTGGATACAGAATGCCAATTGAGCCTATAAGCAATCAGTTTATTAGCCAGTGTCAATAACACAGTCAGCAGCTGATCATGCATTGTTGACCTAACTGGAATAATTATTGCAAGTTTTCCACGATATATTAATATTCAATTATTATCTAAATGTCACTCACGATACAAGTTCATATCCTATATTTTCTTAACTAAACCTACAATTTAAACAGGAGTCATCAGAAGACGACAAATCTCCCTGGCCCCCAACAGATTCTAAAGAACAAATCATCTTTACTTTAAGTCCAACTTGATGAGAGAATTTCTATCTCATCTGTCACACCACTATGAACAGAGTCAAAATCAAACTTGTTGCCATGAAAAAATATAAATTCTAAAAATTGCGAAAGGCACCATTTGACAACCTGGTCTATGTGTGTGAAAAGTGTCATGAAAGAATACCTATTAGCTTTAGAGATATGATGCGATAAACACAACACTATCAACAGAGTCAAAGTCTAACTTGTGCCATCCATGGAAACAGGAAAAAAATAAGTTTTCAAAAACATTCCTGAATAGCAAAAGGCTCCACTTCAGCCCTTGGTTAATACATGTACCAGGTTTGGAAGAAAAGTTTTCAAGTTGTGCTCAGGAAACGACATATTTGAAATTCTTTTCTTGCAAATATCAGGAAAAGGCTGCTCTACTTCTATGACATTCCCCTCAACGGGCCTCCCACCTGAGGGCTGGCTGGACATCCCAATTGGCTATCTGTAGAGATGGCACTATGTCAATAGTGAGCGCCAGAGAACACTGCCGGCAGTACCCTGCCTCCAGCCCAGGGTTACCACTGTACTGCACTGACAGGACCGCCTCCACAGCCTGCAACACACACACACAATACAACTCAAACATCTAAATCTTGTACATCTGCTACAACTGTCGGGTTGTTGTTTTAGGCCACAATCTTCCCGATATATTATGGTGGCATGTAAATTGATTCTGGGCCAGGCCTGTAGATGATTGATTCTGAGCCACGCAATCATGGGTTGATATTGTTACTTAAATCAGCAACGTCCAACGTCAGACCTTGTCGACAAGTCTGATCACTTGATTTAGCAACCCTATATAACAAACAATAGCATTGGGTACATTTTCTACCCTGTTTACCCAATGGGGTGACTTCTATATAAATACAGAAAACACCAGGGATCTGGGGACAATATGATTTACCGTATTCGACGTAATATACGCCCCGCTCTTATAAACGCCCACGGCGATATTTGCTAATATATTGGCTAGTGAACAATCCTAATTAGCACCCCTTCCAATAGATCAATGTACACAAGACTTATTTATTCGTGTATAATACGCACTCGTGTGTTATATGCACCCTTAATTAGGGGCAATTAAATTCTGGAAGAATATGTCTGGCGTATTTAAACATTTTAGGCTGTCAGCATAAACCAAGAAATTTACCATCTTTCAACTGTTTTTTTCACCCAAACAATATTCTAATAAGAGCCCACTATTCCTAATTTTGAGAGCGCCCTGGGCGCTTATTACGTCGAATACGGTATGTGTATATTGTCTTTTGTATACTGTATATAAAATTAAGTGATCCCTGACAAAATGAAATCCATGGACTTTCGTAGATCGTCTGAAAATTCTTATCCTTGTAAATATCCCAAAGACTTGGACAATCCTATAGAATGTTTTCCTGCTGAAGAGAGACTGGAGATCTATATATATCACAGCCCTTCTCACATGAGCTTGTCTATCATTTAATGTTAACAGGTCCACTGAAGACTTATTGGTCATTTTCTCACTCTAGAGAAATTTTGTTAATTACTGGTAATGAATATGTCATTTGTTATGCATAAGGAAGAGATTCTAAAGTGAGTGAGTGAGTGAATATGGTTTTACGCCGCTTTTAGCAATATTCCAGCAATATTACGGCGGGGGACACCAGAAATGGGCATCACACATTGTACCCATGTCGGGAATCGAACCCGGGTCTTAGGCGTGACGAGCGAACGCTTTAACCACTAGGCTACCCGACCGCCACAGATTCTAAAGCAGCTGAAAACAACAATTGAAAATCATGTAAAAAACAATAAAAAGGTTTCACAGACAGTCAGTGAGGCTTGTGCACATTTGTTAGCTTTTCTCCAGGAATATCAGGGTTGTTTTCAATATAATAAAACGTCAAGAATTAAGGAAAGCCATAAACATCAAGTTATTTTAAAAGGACCTACCTTTCCTTCTGAGCTGTCTGAGCGAGACCGATTGGAATACACAGGGGAAGGCATATCTGAAACCCATAGAGGGAATTGGATTACAGAGTGAGAGAAAGTGTTTATAAGGTAAAGATATAATATAGAACACAGAAGTTGAAATCCATATCTTTTGTATCTCTATGAACTGCTAACTACTAAATGCCTCTTAAAGAATGGGCGTCGCAAGATGTCTCACAAGATGTCATTGTTTCTAAGTTGATTGTACACAAACCTTGAGTTTGAAGGTCTGATGACAGGAAGTCGCTGTAACCATAGATACAGACAGAGAAGCACAGTTGATTGGCTGGTTGAAGGGGAAGCTGGGAATTAATATTGTCATCACTCCACGAAAATATCCGTTCTTCTAAGTCTGCAAACCAAAATACAGTTGTTCCAATGACCACAACACATTCAAAAGTAGCAGACAGAAGGCGGGGAATTCACATATCCTGCTCAAGAGAGTGAGTGAGTTCAGTTTTAGGCCGCTTTGAGCAATATTCCAGCAATATCATGGCAGGGGGCACCAAATACGGGCTTGACACATTGTACCCATGTCGGGAATCGAACCTGGGTCTTCAGCGTCGTGACAAGCAAACGCCTTAACCACTAGGTTACCCGACCGCCCATTCTGCTCAAGAGAGGAATCTTGACTACAGTGGCTAGAGATTAATGGCATTAGGACATTTCATAAAATTATTCATAAATGTTTTCGGACATATCAGACATATTTCTATATCATTACAAAATTTGAAAAAGTATCTTCCAGACGTTTTGAATGAGAATCAGTCAATGTCCCAGAAAATGATCTGAACTGAACTTGACTGTATGCCTTATCAGTGCAATCAAATAGATATTGTTAACATGGTTAAAGAAAGGTATAATGTAATAATTGAAACACTGAAATTTCAAATCTCAATACGTACCATGCTCTAGTTTTGTATCCAGGGACACATCCAGTCTCTCCACAGGCAGACAGGAGCCGTTCTGGAGAGTCACCAGGCACTCCAAGCTGAAAAACATATTCAGCAGATGCAGTGCTCATTAACTTATCACTAGGCAAAATAGACCAATTAAACATTTCTATATGGCTTACGAAAAAATTCCTCAAATAATAAAACAAAAGACAAATTAATATTTCATGAAATAACATATAGAACTTTCAAACTTTTTACATAAATCAGCAAGGCTCCTTTTCATGAACATAATCTTAGAGTTACATCTGTCAATCTTAAAATATCACTTAAGACAATCATAGCAATAATAATACTTTGAGAAATAGCCCAGGACCACGAAGCAATCTGTCATACGTCTATGTTAGAGTAAAGGAGTTATGACAATCATAACAGTAGGTTCAGGTGAAAGGTCATACTTTATTTGCCTACCCATAAACCTCTTAAGCACCGAAACACTCAATCCAACAGTAGGGTCAAAACTAAGGAGACTGACAAGGTATATATTTCCAACTGACCTCTGTCCTGCATACAGCAAGGCCGTGGCACTTGCCACCACGTTGGCTCCATCTCCTACAGATGTGAAGCTGGCAGCTTTCGGCAGCGACGATGACAGCGACACCTGGGGCAGGCCGGGGACAATATCAACGTCAAAGTGGGGCTGAGGTATTTGGGCGAGGTCCTTCAAGCGACAGTTGCTGCGGACCCCGAGGACTAGAGTGCTGTAGCCTGCACAGAATGATATCAACATGACAACATGGATCAACAGATTATCTGTAGATGTAGGATCAAGGATACAGAAAGTGACAATTTACTGAAACAAATATACAGGGCATCATGCTTCCACCTGCATTTATAACATATCAGTCACTTTATGAGATGATATTTGTTTACCAGCACACCACACCTGACCATAGAGATTTCCCCTAACTACTCATCACAGAGATTTGGACTACCAACACAGTGTCGCCCATCTACACCATATAACCTACACAGTACAGAGAGCAGTATAGAGACTTGCCCTACTTACCAGCATAGAGACTTGACCTACCTACCCAGTACAGAGAGCAGTATAGAGACTTGCCCTACCTACCAGCATAGAGAATTAATCTACCTACACAGTATAGAGAGTTGACCTACCTACCAGTATAGAGTTGACCTACCTACCCAGTATAGAGAGTTAATCTACCTACACAGTATGGAGAGTTCACCTACGTACATAGTATGGAGAGTTGACCTAACTACCAGTTTAGAGAGTTAATCTACCTACACAGTATAGAGAGTTGACCTACGTACATAGTATAGAGAGTTGACCTACCTACACAGTATAGAGAGTTTATCTACCTACACAGTATACATGTATAGAGGGTTGACCTACCTACCAGTATAGAGAGTTGACCTACCTACATAGTATAGAGAGTTGACCTACCTATCAGTATAGAGAGTTGACCTACCTACATAGTATAGAGATTTCATCTACCTACCCAGTATAGAGAGTTGACCTACCTACCCTGTATAGAGAGTTGACCTACCTACCCTGTATAGAGAGTTGACCTACCTACCCTGTTTAGAGAGTTGACCTAACTACACAGTATAGAAAAGATGATTTACCAGTATAAAGAGAGTTGACCTACCTACACAGTATAGAGAGTTGACCTACCTACACAGTATAGAGAGTTGATCTACCTACCCTGTATAGAGAGTTGACCTAACTACACAGTATAGAAAAGATGATCTACCAGTATAAAGAGAGTTGACCTACCTACACAGTATAGAGTTGACCTAAGTGAGTGAGTGAGTGAGTGAGTATGGTTTTACGCCGCTTTTAGCAATATTCCAGCAATATCACGGCGGGGGACACCAGAAATGGGCTTCACACATTGTACCCATGTCAGGAATCGAACACGGGTCTTCGGCGTGAATGGCGAACACTTTAACCACTAGGCTACCCGACCGCCCCTGACCTAAGTACACAGTATAGAAAAGATGATCTACCAGTATAAAGAGAGTTGACCTAACTACACAGTATAGAGAGTTGACCTACCTATCCAGTATAGAGAGTTTTGTAGAATTTTCCTATTCGGAATATTCTATAAGTAATACGTTACCACTGTTATACCGAGGCTGTTGTCTCCCACAACTGCTGCTATAGCGAAATCTACCACAGAGATCTCAATTACCTCATGCAGCACGTGCGTAGCCACCTAGCTGCCATGTGACACCCTTCACTCTTGTCTCCTGCGAGAGCAAGTGCTCGGGGGACGGACGGGCGGGCAGCAGCCCAGTGGTAACGTATTACTTATAGAATATTCCGAATAGGAAAATTCTACAAATTACATTAAGTAATACGTTACCACTGTTATACCGAGGCTGACTACCACAGTAGGCGGTGGGGAGCACCTACAACCCGAATCCTGACTGCTAGCGTTCCTTCCGACCAGCGGAAGTAAACACCAAGGCGGAAGCACTCGATGCGCATGCACCTAGCTAGGCGTTACCCTATAGGAATACCAAAGCACTGTCAAGCGCATACCGTAAGGCTCAATCGTCATTGCCAAAACGATTGGTGACTCCAAACGGCCCCACTGGATAGGTATTTCATCGCCGCAGCGGATGAGAACACTGTATCCGCGTGAGCTTAATCTTAGATCAGGTTAAACGGTCGAAAAGAGGGAAATTAATTTCATTCAGACCGTATATCCCAGAGCAAGCCTACTTAAAGTATGCATTAGGCGCGTGACCTAATTCCAGTATTTGTAAGCATGCATCACAAGGTTGGGATACACGACAGACAATTAAAGACATAATTGTCAAAATACAAATAAGGACAAAGCACACAAAAAGCCGCCCTCACCTGTGGTGTGAGTGCGCTGGTTTGCGGGACCCCAACTCCTGTACCCACGGCAGTGGGAACATTGGAGTAGACCCAGATTGACCACCGTGCAAGGTCAGACGCCTGAGGAGTTCGGAATTGCGCTGGGCACACCCCTTAGGTGCCCGCTTGCGCCGCGATCCGCGGGCCAAGACGGTGCACACTCTCCACGACGGCATCAGCGACCTGTTTGAGGTAATGATTGGCAAAAACCGAGTCAGAACGCCAGTAACAACCTCGTAATATTCTGCGAACAGAGATATTCGAGTGTAGGGCAAATGTTGCCGCTAGCGCCCTGATCTCGTGCGGGTTTGACCCCGCTACCGGTAACCCCCGAGACCGGTACGCCAGATTGATGACAGAACGAAGCCACAACGCAATCGAGTTGCGAGTTATGTCAACCGTGCGATTAGGGTTACACGATATGAACAGACGGTCACGCCCTTGTCTACGTTCATTCGAAGCCTTAAGATAATCCTTAAGGGCCCTAACCGGACACAGCGCTCTGTCCTCAGTATCAGCAGGATGTAAGATTTCTTTGAGTGATCTTACAGTGAATTCTCTCTCCGTTTGCCCGACTCTCTGATTCTTGGCGACGAAGCCCATGAGCAGGCCCAGGCGGACCGCTCCTTCGTCACCCCTATCGAATCGTACCTTGGCGACATCGAGTGCATGAATTTCGGATACACGTGCCGCCGTGGCAAAGGAGAGGAGAAATGCTGTTTTCCAAGTCACATGCCGGAACGAAGCACTATGCAAGGGTTCATACGGAGCTTCCGTAAGTGATTGCAACACTAGGGAAAGATCCCAGGCCGGTGCCCGAAGGCGGCCCTTCTTAAGATCGTGCTGTTTGAAACCCTTGATAATACCCCGCATCACCGGCTCTTTGGAGAGACTGGTACCCATAGCAACGTCCCGTACCGTAGCAACGGACGAGACATAGTTGGCAATGGAACCCCCGGAGAGTTTCCGGGTCTCTCGCAAGTGAGACATGAAACGAGCAATATCCTGCACAGATACCTTATCTGGCGAATGAATGTGATGTTTACAACACCACTTCGTGAAAATAACCCAACGTGCATTATACACCTTCTGGGTAGAATCACGATGCATACTAACGTATGCCCGAGACGCCCGGCGAGAAAAAACTTTACTCCTCAGACGCTCGGTGACAACATCCACGCGTGCAGATTGAACTGCCCTGCGTTTGGATGAAGCTGACGGGTGTGAGGGTGGATCAAGAGATCCGGTCTCACAGGCAGTGGAAGTGGCGACTGCGTGACCTGGGTCAGCAAGTCGGGGTACCACGATCTGTTCGGCCACATGGGCGCGATCAGGAACATTCGACAGCGAACTCCTCGGAGCCGGCTTAGAATGTGTGGTATCAACGCTGTCGGCGGGTAAGCATAAGCGACCAAGCCCGTCCAGTCTAACGCGAGAGCATCGTGATCGATGGCCCTCGGGACCGGGACTGGTGATACAAACAACGGGAGTTGATTGTTGAACCGCGTTGCGAACAGGTCGACCATCGGACGACCCAAACGTTCGCACAGCCACTGAAACACTACTGGGTTCAGCATCCACTCTGTGGGGCTCGGATCCTGAGGCCTCGATAGAGCATCGGCCAGTACGTTCCGCACACCTGGGATGTGACGGGCGCGTATCTGGCACGGGACACTGTCCACCAGAGCGTAAAACTCGAACGTGAGATCGAGTAGCGAGTGACTGTGGGTTCCCCCCAGTTTGTTCACATAGGACACTACCGTTGTGTTGTCGGTCGCCAGCATGAGCCGGGCGTCGACGAGACGATGCTTCCAGTGATTGACTGCGTTGGACCCCGCGTCCGACCCCGCGGCCACCGAAGAGGCCGGGGACGGAACAGCCAGCGGCCTATCTTGCGATAAGGCCGCCAGCATGGAATCCACAAGTTTCGACAACAATGCGGCGACGGAATTAGAGAATAAACTATAATAAATATCACCAAATCTTCAAGGAACGCTTCAGCAGGAGAAAACACGTCTTGCTAAGCAGACGAAGGAGACAAGAGTGAAGGGTGTCACATGGCAGCTAGGTGGCTACGCACGTGCTGCATGAGGTAATTGAGATCTCTGTGGTAGATTTCGCTATAGCAGCAGTTGTGGGAGACAACAGCCTCGGTATAACAGTGGTAACGTATTACTTAATGTAATTATCTACTTACACAGTATAGAGAGTTGACCTATCTACACAGTATAGAGAGTTGACTTAACTATCCAGCAGAGAAATTTACCAACCCAGTATAGAGAAGCTGACCTACCCAGAATAGAGAGTTGGCCTACAGACTTTGGTTTGCCATACAGTTTGATGAAGGCTGGTCCAGACTCAGCTGGCACTGATGGATTGGCCGGGAATATCTCCATCTCAACACCTTCCGTCAGCAAACCCTGGACACAGACAAAACACTCATCACGATACCAGATTATAAGCCTATCTATAACTCAGATGAACTGATTTCACTAAAAATAAATTGAGAAAATCAATTACACAATAATCCATGTTTTCTTTCTCAACTGGACATCATTTCATTGTTCCGATGAAAATGAAGAAAAGTGGTCTTAACTGATCATGTGAGAGACAGTTTACAGCAATACATGCATACATACCATGTAGTTAATCTTGAGCTCTTCGGGGAGAGGATTAAACACCTGTAGGTGTACTTCACACATGTCCCCCTCAACCCACAGGAAATCTGAAGAAAAACATATCAGTCTTGAACCACCTCAAATGACTAGTCACGAAACTGTTTGAAGCACCTGAAAAGTTTCTAGTTTGTACATACATTAACTTAATGACTCTCATTGAAGTCAGCACTGTTGACAAGCATGAAGCACTGAGGTCCTACACTGCTTGGAAAACTTTCATCAGGTGGAGCTCCTCTTAGATATGTTGGACAAATCAACGTGCAAATGATACATAGAGAATCTCACCTGAGTGTCTTTTGATATCAATGAAAGATTAAAAGTCTGAGGCTTAAGCTTTTACCAACAAGTGTTGAAATTCTGTTTATCATCCAAACATCATTCGTTCAACTTTTTCAGTTTGTAAACAGTAATAAATAGTGTCTTGTGTGTAAAAAGTACAGATACAGCTTCAGTAGCAGAGAGATTAGTGGTGTCATTTGATTGTGACATCATGGTTATCGATGATGTTCTGATGGTCTGCAAAGCATTGTGAAACAGGGCAAACATCAACATGTTGAAGAAAAGCTATTGTGTGGATTCTTACCACACTTGTTAGTCTTGGCATCTTTGTCGGAGTCGAGGGAGAGAGGTGTGTAGATGAAGACCCCCGACTTGGAGGATTTATCACAGTCTGTGGAGAGTTTCTGGGGGTGCAGGTGAGGCACAGGGGGCACAACCTTGAAAAACCTGCAATACACATGTTGTTACACCTGGGGGTTCATTGCATACAGTGCAAACGTTAAACATCGTCTCAAAAGAAAAATGGTTGTCTTCATATGCATTCTAGGATATACAGATAACTAGCTTTATCCCACTTCAACATAAACCACTGGAATGAGAGAGACACCATCCACATAAACATGAGTTAAGCAAAGAATAAAAATAAATGAAAGGTAAAAACAATATTCTCTCACTTTCCAAGAGATACACAAGAGTCATTGACCACTCTACACGTAACTGGGAAATTGAGGAGAGGGACTGGGGGCAGGATCTGACAGTTCTCCAGGGAAAGTTGGTGAGGTGTTCCTCTGTCCACTCTACACCTACCTGACAATAGGAAAGTTGAGGAGAGGGACTGAGGGCAGGATCTGACAGTTCTCCAGGGGAAGTGGGTGAGGTGTTCCTCTGTCCACTCTACACCTACCTGACAATAGGAAAGTTAAGGAGAGGGACCGGGGGCAGGATCTGACAGTTCTCCAGGGGAAGTGGGTGAGGTGTTCCTCTGTTCACTCTACACCTACCTGACAATAGGAAAGTTGAGGAGAGGGACTGGGGGCAGGATCTGACAGTTCTCCAGGGGAAGTGGGTGAGGTGTTCCTCTGTTCACTCTACACCTACCTGACAATAGGAAAGGTGAGGAGAGGGACTGGGGGCAGGATCTGACAGTTCTCCAGGGGAAGTGGGTGAGGTGTTCCTCTGTCCACTCTACACCTACCTGACAATAGGAAAGTTAAGGAGAGGGATTGGGGGCAGGATCTGACAGTTCTCCAGGGAAAGTTGGTGAGGTGTTCCTCTGTCCACTCTACACCTACCTGACAATAGGAAAGTTGAGGAGAGGGACTGGGGGCAGGATCTGACAGTTCTCCAGGGGAAGTGGGTGAGGTGTTCCTCTGTCCACTCTACACCTACCTGACAATAGGAAAGTTGAGGAGAGGGACTGGGGGCAGGATCTGACAGTTCTCCAGGGGAAGTGAGTGAGGTGTTCCTCTGTTCACTCTACACCTACCTGACAATAGGAAAGTTGAGGAGAGGGACTGGGGGCAGGATCTGACAGTTCTCCAGGGGAAGTGGGTGAGGTGTTCCTCTGTTCACTCTACACCTACCTGACAATAGGAAAGTTAAGGAGTGGGACCGGGGGCAGGATCTGACAGTTCTCCAGGGGAAATGGGTGAGGTGTTCCTCTGTCCACTCTACACCTACCTGACAATAGGAAAGTTAAGGAGTGGGACCGGGGGCAGGATCTGACAGGTCTCCAGGGGAAGTGGGTGAGGTGCTCCTCTGTCTACTCAACACCTACCTGACAATAGGAAACGTGAGGAGAGGGACAGGGGGCAGGATCTGACAGTTCTCAAGGGGAATTGGGTGAGGTGTTCCTCTGTCAACTCTACACCTACCTGACAATAGGAAACGTGAGGAGAGGGACCGGGGGCAGGATCTGACAGTTCTCCAGGGGAATTGGGTGAGGTGTTCCTCTGTCAACTCTACACCTACCTGACAATAGGAAACGTGAGGAGAGGGACAGGGGGCAGGATCTGACAGTTCTCCAGGGGAATTGGGTGAGGTGTTCCTCTGTCAACTCTACACCTACCTGACAATAGGAAACGTGAGGAGAGGGACAGGGGGCAGGATCTGACAGTTCTCCAGGGGAATTGGGTGAGGTGTTCCTCTGTCAACTCTACACCTACCTGACAATAGGAAACGTGAGGAGAGGGACAGGGGGCAGGATCTGACAGTTCTCCAGGGGAATTGGGTGAGGTGTTCCTTCACATTTGGCTGTCAGTGTCTCCAGTCCACTGATCGCATCTCGGCGTTCAGATACACTCAGTTTGTCATGCATGGTGTGCAACAGGAACGTCATGTGCCTGTTGAAAGATAATGAAAGCATAAAGGTCCTCGTTCTCCTGCTGAGGGCATATTTGTGTCCTGTGTGGGTTTCTTATCAATTCAAGGTTGTAAACAAATGAAGCCAAACCTTTCAATGAAGTTGAAGTTACGTATCCTTCATTTAGATGATCTAGGATTTCTAAGGGTTCACCCGACAAGATCTGCCAAACTAGGAAACTATGCAGTGGGTTGTTACATATTTAAAAGAAACCAAATCATGAACTGCACACAAACACAATCCTTTTATTCATTAATAACATACAATAATTGTCCAACAAACACTCTTTAAAAGACGGGCTCACAGTCAATACATTTGGAAAGCTAGTACTACCAGTACATATTTCCCAAAGTCTCAACTAGTTGTGTTTGAAAAGGGGAAGAATTTTCATTTTCCTCTTCAGCTAGGAACATAACACTTTCCGAGTCTCTTTAACTAATGTATCACCATGACAACCAACTGGTTTGCTTGAACGCATGTGTTCTTACCTGACAGCCAGCTGTGGGTTGCCCATCCTACGGGCAGAGTACACCAGCTCATGAAGGATCCGGTACTGGATCACTGGCCACCCATTGGGATGATCTGAAGCAATGACATACACTCTCATTCCGGACACTAATACAGAGTGAGTGAGTGAGTTGGGTTTAACGCCGCTTTTAAAAGTATTCCAGTTATATCGCGGCGTGATAGCTTAATGTGGGAGGAAACCTGAAGTGATGCAGGTCTCAGATGTTTATCACTTCGGTGAAACCCACGAGCACGGGTATGGTGCTGACAAACCTGTAACATGATCAGGGCGAACGGGGATTCGAACCCACAATCACAGGTTTCTGGCGTGCCCAAGGGACGCAACTCTGTACAGCAAAATGCTGTGCCATAGACAACTGGGCCACCCCTGCCCCCGACACTAATACAGACTTTCATCATGATCATTGATGAGAGAATCAGACCTGGTTGACACATGGTTGATTTGAACAAAATATAGTCCTCCTCGCGAAGACTAGCAAACTAGTTTGACATTCTTTATTATTTCTATGTGGTATTAACATACAAGATCACAGCATATCCGAAAAACTTACGTCTTTGTTTGAAATTCTCTCAGATGTTGTCATGGCTCACATTAAAAGTCAAGATTTATAGGAAAACATCTATCAAGCCCTCTGCTTGACAGAATAATTGTTTGAAAATCACTCACTAAAAAGGTATTTTTAGGGTAAAAATATTAGTTATACTTATCCTGAATCATACTAATTGCTTATCTCATCTCATTCCAAAAAGGTAGTGGAAATGCTGTGCCGTGTTCCCAAGAACAGAGAAAAGATCTCATCCGAATGCACCCCTCAGCCGTGCATCCGCACTGGAGGCATGTGACCAAGTCTGAAGAAGTTGTGCCAACCGGTTGTGTGGCTAATCCTATCACACAGCTCCCATGTGACCCCGGAAGTAGTGACATCACTGAACAGCACATTTCTGCTTAAACAGCGCATCTGAAGCCATCGAGGGGAGGTAGCTTCAGCGATAGTTGGGCCACTTCAGACTAGGTAATGCAGGATAAGTATAAAAATATATAAAATATCTAGGATTTTACTAGACTTTTTAACTTATCCTGCATTACTCCTTAATGCATCTGCATCAGACGGTACGGCAGAGGGCATACCTTCAGATGAGATCTTCTGACTATAGAATGCATCAATCAGCAGCAGAGAAGTCTGGCATCGAGCGACCATTCCTGTTGGCAGGTATGCGTGATGTCCAGGTATCATTGCAGTAAAAGAATTAAACAGGGTTAAAATCTAATACTGACATACCGAGCCAATGCAGCATGCAACCTTCTAGACTGGAGAGGTCGATAGGTTGGCTCTGGACATGCCTGTGAACAAGGTAAGTCATAAGAGTACTACGGTCAAGATGGCGTTTGTGGTTCAGGAATAGTAGATATTCCGCCAAGAATTGGGGTTACGCAGTGGCAGGATCCTTGTGTTTTTCCTTGCAGAAACTCTTGAAGGAGTGCCACTTGTCGTCACAGAGGCCCCTGCTGGAAGGTCTGTGAACAAGGGTGACTGCATTTGCAGCTTGTGCAGAGAAGCCCTTGGCACTTAGAGCTATTCGTAAATGGACCAGGCATGAAGATGTAACCGATCTGGCGCTGGGTGTGGTAGTCTGCTGTGAGGGTGGTTCAGCAGGTTTGGCCAGTCTGGGAGTTCAGGGTTGGTGGAGAACATTGCTCTAAGGTCCACGAAGGCGCTATCAAAGTCAGATAGAGGCTGCGGGTGACGAGTCGATCTGATCTTTTGAAGGACCCTGGGAAGGAGCACTGGCGGCTGAAAAAGCGTATGCTTTTAGTCCTTCCCAGGTGACACTATAGCGTCGTCAGCCCAGGTTTGTGGATCCGGCTCCGGGGAGATGAAGATCCGAACCTGGCAGTTATGGCTGGTGGCAAATAGATCTATGTTGGGATCGCCGAGGTGTTGACAGACAAGACCGAAGACATCCGGATGGAGTTTCCATTCTGTGGGGGCTACCCTGTTCAGTCTGAAGATGGTGTCTGCAAGAATGTTGTGACATCCTGGAGTGTGTTGGACATAGAGGTCCAATTGATCGATCAGATTGAATAGCCTGAATGTCTGCCGAAACAGTGAGGAAGAGAGATACTGTCTGTGGATATGGTGATCTGAGCGTGTTGGAGCATCTTCTTCCGATAGACAGAGCCAGGATGAACGCCTCCAGTTCTAGGTTGTTGATATGCAAGGGTTGTGGTATTTACAAACAAGATCACAGTATATCCGAAAAACTTCCGTCTTTGTTTGAATTCTCTCAAATGTTGTCATGGCTCAGCAGATGGCGTTGGATTTGGCACCAACTGTCCTTGGGTACAGAGAGGAGGTCGCGCTCGGTCTGAAAGCAGCTTCCGATAAATTGGGGATCGTACAAAGGTGTGATCTCCAAATTCCGGACATTGATAATCCAGCCCAACTAAGGGAGGAGACTCGGAGTAAAGTCCTGTGGCGGATCAGCGTGGCCGCGTCCTGGTGGTTCAGGTTCAATCGTCTCCTCAAACTGGACACCCCTCAGATGGAGGTACATGGCTATCGGCTTCATAATGTGCGTGAACAACCACGGGGCCGAAGAAATAACAAATGGGAGTACCGCCCATTGATAGTGAACTCCCTCAAAGAAGCAGAGTAATTTCCATTGGGGTGGATGCAAGTACGTGTCCTGGATGTCTAGGCTGATCAGGGCATCTTGTATCTGAGTAGCCTGAGAGTGGACATCCGGAAGTACGGTGGACTTGTTAAAAGTCGCCAAGTTGTGGATCATTCAATATTGGTCCGAGTCCTTTATGGGGATGAGGAATATCAGTGAGTAGAAGGCTGGTGTTAGTGCTAGCTTGTGTACTATCTCGGCCTAAGATACTTGTGTACTAAGGCCTCTTTGGCTAGCAGCGTGTAGATGTTTGAGCACAGTAGCCGCTGTAGTGTAAGGGGAAAGTGTCTGCTATTGGTGACGCTGTCAAGGGCGGGTCGTCTTTCAGGGTGAGCTGATACCCCGGCACAGTATGTTTGTGACATATGGGCCCCGTAAGGTTGTCCCAGTTCCTGCCAAGAGCGCCCTAATCTCCCACCTACAGGGGTCTCAATGACTTGAACTGCTGGGAAAGGGAGTTCCCAGTCGTTGGCATTATGTCATATCAATACTTGTCCTTGTGGTCACCGCTTGGGAGTGGTCACGACGGGGCTGGTACGTGCCAGGAGTCTTGCCTTTGCCGTAATGAGATGACATAAGCAATAAGTACGAGTTAGGTTAAGGTAATATATAACTTTTTTCCAGCCGTTTCAATCCTACCTTCTCAAAAAAAAGGAAGCAATACCAATTTTAAATGAAGTTACATTTCCTTATCTTATTAACAAATAAATAGTTAATGTAAACATTAGACGACCTACACATAAAATCCTCAACAATAAGATCTAACTTAACAGAATCTACCTGTAACATGTGTAAGAAGCAATACCAATTTTAGTAACATTTCCTTATCTTATTAACAAATAAATAGTTAATGTAAACATTACATGACCTACATATAAAGATCTAATTTAACTGAATCTACCTGTAAGAAATTCCTTTGGATCAAGTGAAATACTGTATCCTGCCAGAGCTTGCACCAGCAGGTAGTAGCACTGGTGCCAGCCCACCGACGTCCCTGGCGCCACACACTGCATGCCCGCCACCCGCTTGAAGAACGCAGCCTTGCGGTGGAAGCCCACCTGGGTGTACAGGGAAGCCAGGGTGCCATACCGGTGAATCTGCAACACAGAGGGGCTAACTTCACCTAGCTCTCAGACTAAAGACATGACAATCTGCAACATAGAGGGCAACTTAAGCTAGTTCTCAGACTTGGGACACAAGAATCTGAAAAAACAGATAACAAGTAAAGCTTGTTCTCACAGACTTGAGACACGAGAAAATGCAACATAGAGGGCAACCTAAGCTTGTTCTCACAGTCTTGAGACACAAGTAAATGCAACATTTAGGGCAACTTAAGCTAGTTCTCAGACTTGGGACACAAGAATCTGAAAAACAGATAACAACTAAAGCTTGTTCTCACAGACTTGAGACACGAGAAAATGCAACATAGAGGGCAACCTAAGCTTGTTCTCACAGTCTTGAGACACAAGTAAATGCAACATTTAAGGCAACTTAAGCTTGTTCTCAGACTTGAGACAAAAGAATCTGAAAAACAGATGACAACTAAAGCTTGTTCTTACTGACTTGAGACACGAGAAAATGCAACATAAAGGGCAACCTAAGCTTGTTTTCAGACTTGAGACATGAGAAAAAGCAACACGGAGGGCAACTTCAGCTAGTTCTCACAGACTTGAGACACGAGTAAATGTAACATTGAGGGCAACTAAACTAGTTCTAACAGACTAGAGACAGAAGAATTTGTAACAGAAAGTCAACTGAAGCTAGTTATCAGACTTGAGACATATACAACACAGAGGGAAGCCTCAACTAGCCCTTATAGACTTGAAACACAAGAATCTGCAACATTGAGGGCAACTGAAGTTCTCACAGACTAAAGACACAAGACAATGCAGCACAAAAAATATATATGCAACAAAGTATAGGACAACATTGGTGAGTGCAAAAAGTGATACAGTAAACAGACTTGGATCTTCGTCTTAAGCCCAGTGGTAAGAAGAAGATTTTTAAACTGTTTGCAAATTATATTTTTATACATTCCAAATGTTTATAAAACTGAAACACACAATACCAACTACACATTTGCCAAAGTTCAATACGTTTTAAAACAGAAGGCGGACTAATTACCATCAATCAATGTAATGGGTTTCTAAAAACCACCACCATGAAAGTCAAAAGTTTTAACTTGATCGAAATAATATGCTATTCTGAAAATCACACAATAGAACATCCAGTCAGGTGAGCTAAAAAACTAACTGTTCCAACCTTATCTTCTTCAGAGGACTGTAGGTTGATGTAGACCACATTCTGCAGGAAATCGGATGCCTGGAGGTATTTCTGAAACAAACAGTTCTCAATGTACTCCAGCTGACATGTGGCGTTGTAGGAGGGAAAAGCACTGACTCCAGGGTGTGGATCTACAGCAAAACACATCAAGAGAATGGACAACATTCACCTACCAAAAAACAAGTCCACAATCAGAACAAGCATTTACCAAACAAAATATCTCTGCTCACAAAATATGAAGCAGCAAGCTGGTCTGTGTTACAAGCTGCCCACAAATAACATGCTTCTCTAAACAGGTTTATTTTTCTTACAGATAAAAAAAGCCTGTGGATTAACTTGTCAACAAGTTAATGTACAGTCAAACACTGTTGTGTCGAACTTTGTGTCGAACTTTGTGTCGAACTTGCAGTTGTCTTGAAATAAAAGTTCAGTCTCAACCTATTCCTTCCTTATTCATCATTTCGGTTGTGTCAAACCTCAAATTTACACAGGTCCCTTCAACTTCGACATAACAGTCTTAGACTGTATATATATTGTTAAAACTTGCTTCACACTGGTTTCTTTTGTATAATTTTCCCAGAAAATATCCACTGAGACCTTAGGAGAGACAGGGCCTGGGATGTTTTTTAAGACCACTAACAAGATCGGAACATGCAAGACCAGTGTATCAGGAGGCTGACATATCAGTTAATAATTACATAATATAACAATCCCATGTTGTAACGGCATGTAATAATACAAACGCGTACAGACACTGTTTTCATGGACCCATGGAAGTAACAGTCCACCTCTATCACTTTGAACAAACTAAGGGAAGGGGTGAAGAATTGATGATGAAGCTCACAGTATCAAGCCATACATTTACAATCTAGTCAGCATAGTGCAATATAGCTTCACAAAAGATGCCGTCTACCATAGGCAATGACCAGTCGATCAGACAACAAAATTCGCAATTTCATCCCTGACACAAAAACATAGGCAATTGTTGGGGGGGGGTAAAAGATGAAAATGATTAAATCACCTTCATGTACCAGACGTGGATGTTGATTTTGTTAAATGTTCTCTGATTGGACTATCGATATGTACAATAGTCCAATCATATTTAGCACAGAAAAGTGGGCTTGATGTGGCAAGGTTGGAGACAAGGCTTTGATAAAAAGGCTAGAGGATGCTCTTGCCTCGGGAAGATGAGCCAACATACCAAGGTTCTACCAAGGAAAGAAAACATTAGCTAACGAAATGTTCATTTCGATTCACATTTATTTCATTAATATGAAAAACAGATACTGTATTTACAAAGTATTGTGAACTGTGAACAGTTTTTCACATTCACTTAGCTTGCAGGTATATACATATATACAGACATGTCAACAAAAGCACTATAGCATATCAACAATAACAAAGACTTTCTTTAACAATCAACAATCAGTAATAGTTCACTGGAAGAGTGAAACACGAACATTATCAAACTTGGTCTGCTTCTTGGCCGCTCTCATCTGTCCCACCATCTCGACAATGGGGGTGTAGCTGGGGTACTTCTTGATGAAGTAGTTGGGGATCTGCTTCCTCGTGTTGTTGTTGCGGCTCCGCTTGTTGGCAAACCATGACTTGACCTGGGCGCTGGATATTTGTGCAATGTCGGCAAGCTCGTCCTTCTCTTCCTCTGTGGGGTAGGGGTTCTCCTGGTGACTGTCGTACCAATCAGTGAGGATCTTCTTGGCAGCCGGAGTCAGGAGCTTGTACTGGGAGCGACGGTTACTGGGAGCTGCAGCATCCGTTTTCTTGGGACGTCCTTGGTACTTGTACTTGATGGGATGGTCATTGCCTGTGATGGAGAGTGTGTTGAAGGAACGCACACGCTTGTTGGCCAGCCATTTGCGGACTTGTGCAGGCTTAATCCCTCCTATGTCAGAGAGCTGCTTGACATCTTCGTCACTTGGGTAGGGATACTTGATGTGGGCCTCGTACCACTCAGTAAGGATGCGGGTCGTGTCAGACTTCAGAAGACGGCCGGTATGGTTTTCCAGGGTGTTTTCACTGACTGTGGTCTCAACAGGGGAGGTGACTGGCTCAACAGGGGAGGTAACTGTACGGTGGCTGGTCTCAGGGGAGGACTCCTGGCTGTGGATCCCCGAGTCAGCAGACAAGTTCTTGGTGAAGGATTCGGCAACAGATCCAGAGAAATCTGGTGACTTGGCAGATGTGTCAACAATCAAGCTGGGTGACAGGAAGTCGACAATGTTGAAACTCTTCTGTGCAGATGGGATGGACTCAGCGGGAGAATCAAGAAGGGATGGTGGTGTGAGGGGGCTGGACATGTCGCTGATGGGAGACAGGCGATCTTGGTGGGTGGGAGCAGTTCTTGAGTTCTTTGTGAGCTTCAAATGCTGGATCTCCTTGTCAAGGTGCTGGCAAAGGGAGATTCTCTCGTTGTCAAAGTGGATGTTGATGGAGTACTTCTGGTGTTCTGAGCAGTGGACGGCATGCAGGGCCTGGTAACGTTCCATCTCAACACGGCCAACCTCAGTGCAGTAGTAATGTTCAAGTTGCTGGCTGTCACTACGGAGGGTTGTGTCGGCATGGAGACGCAGGAACTCATCCTGGAGAGCAGCATGAAGGGAGGCAACTCTTTGGTTGGTGTCAACAGTTGAAGGAGTAAGCAGCTGATGGGAATTCCAACTTGTTGTGATGAGACTGGCTGGCACCTGAAGCAGAAAGAAGGCAATCTGAATCTGGACCTTGCAATGTCGAAAGTAAAAAAAGACTCCAAAGTTTAAACATTACAAATTTCTTGTTGTAGTAGTATTACACCAAACTGTAGGTAAATTCTGGAAAATATACTGGAAAAGAATGACCTGTAAGAAACTGCATTAGGCAAAGGGAAATCACTTACCTGTAGGTGTCTGCACTCCTGTGACAAAAGCTTCTGAAGGTCTTGGAACATGGGATTGCTCTGAAGTCTGTTGAGGCAGCTTGGGTTCTCTAGGGCTGGCAACTGAGCTTGTGGGGTGGGGAGCATGGGTGGCAGAGACAGTGGCTGTGTCGCTGGGGTGGTCATGGAGGGGGAATACCCCTGGGTATGCGGCAGGGTGGACATCTGGGCAGACTGTGGTGTTGAAGTGAGCGCAGACAGGGCCAGGTAGGACGGAGCTGGTGGCATGGTAAAGGAAGCCAGTGGTGATGGATGGGGTAGGGGCATCATGGGTGCTGGGTGGGGTAGAGACGTCCTGGAAGTCTGCATGGAAGGGTACAGTGGAGAAGGAGCTGCTATATGGCTGGCACTGGTGGTAGGTGTAGATGTCATCCCATACATAATGGTACCGGTTGGAGATCTGGCAACTTGGGAGGGCCGCATGTGATCAACTGTTGGTAGGTGGCTGGCAGGGATGTGAGAGTTGAAGCTGTGCGACAAGGCAGCAGATGCTGACTCGGCCATTGAAAGCTCCGATCTAAGACTGGTCAGACTAGGAGCCATGAAGAGTGGGGAGAACTGGAGCAGAGTCTTGGTATCAATCGTCCTTGGTCGGTCAGTATGCATGTATGCCATGATACAAGTAATAATACCAGAACCTCAAATCTCTGAATCACTGTTTGAGCTTTGAATGTATAACTGTGCAAGTAGCAGAGTTGAATGATGACTGGATGTGAAACCTGGGGTTATATACCCAAATCCTAGCAATGGATATCAACTCTGATAGAGGCCTCTCTGTCACAATCAAAGTCCTCCAGTTTGGTTTCCAACAACACAGGGATGAGCAGGGAACGACCCCAATTACTCTACCCACCCAATACAATACAGCCATTGCCTGGCTTGTCACTGGCTACTCTCTGGCTGTACAAACACCTTCATCTCCTCCCACTGGCTTCAAAGACCAGCCAGAGTTACCTCCCCCTTGTACTCCCCCTAAAACAACATGGACCTTGTGCTGGGTAGAGATTAACGGTCACAAGCTAGGGATTAGGGATTAAACTAATAAATAAGCAAAACATGCAACAAGCCAATGATCAATTGCTGTGAAAACATCAGTGTATAGGTTCATCTGGGGTGTTTGATCTTTGATATGTAATTCGGTGTGGATGATTGGTACTTTACGAAGCAGCATCCAGTCCAGGTAAACATGGAAACCCACAAACTTCAAAGGGCTTTCTACAATTGAACCACAGAAGTAATTCTATTGAGTATTTTAAGGACAAGCTACCCACTAAAACATGTTGTAAAACAAACCAACTTTTCATATTAAACATAAATTATGGAAAGTTTATCCTTTTTCAGATCTTTTCAGGAAATCAATAACATTTAAACATATTAGTTATCTATGTTGCCTGGATAATGAACAATTCGATGAGGCAGCACAGCAGGAAGGTAAGAATTACCAACATTGAACTATCCCATATTGTGAACGCACAATGACATTTAGAAAGTGGTCAAACCCAGACAGGACTCAACCCCAAAAAGTATGAGAATCTGTACTTTACTGAGAAAGTGTTATCCCAAATATAACGTCTGTTACATTTGACCACTTTCTAAATGGCATTGTGTTCATAGCTTCGGCCATGGGGCCGTGTAACTTTACACTTGTCAGAGGGGTACACAAGTACGTGATCTAGACTAAGTATGAGAATCTGTACTTTACTGTGAAAGTGTTATCCCAAATATAACGTCTGTTACATTTGACCACTTTCTAAATGGCATTGTGTTCATAGCTTCGGCCATGGGGCCGTGTAACTTTACACTTGTCAGAGGGGTACACAAGTACGTGATCTAGACTAAGTATGAGAATCTGTACTTTACTAAGAAAGTGTTATCCCAAATATAACGTCTGTTACATTTGACCACTTTCTAAATGGCATTGTGTGTTCATAGCTTCGGCCATGGGGCCGTGTAACTTTACACTTGTCAGAGGGGTACACAAGTACGTGATCTAGACTAAGTATGAGAATCTGTACTTTACTAAGAAAGTGTTATCCCAAATATAACGTCTGTTACATTTGACCACTTTCTAAATGGCATTGTGTGTTCATAGCTTCGGCCATGGGGCCGTGTAACTTTACACTTGTCAGAGGGGTACACAAGTACTTGATCTAGACTACCAGTTGTCAGACTTTCATTTTGTGGAAGCCTCGCTGGCTCAGTAGGTTAGATTGTTGACTTTGTGTGCTAGCATTAGGTGCCTCACTCTGGCAGTGTGTGTTCGACTCCTGTTAGGGACTCAACCCATAAAGGTACAAGAATCTGTACTTCTAAGAAAGTGTTATCCCAAATATAACATCTGTTGCATCCCATACTGATTTCAAACAACATGGTAGGTGCAGTGAAATTCAAGATTACTGCACGTATATAGCGACATCCATGTGCTTGTGTAATCTTTTACCAGTCTAAAATTATGTCGGTTTATAGGACAAGCTCACTGAGATAACAGGACAAGAGTTAAGTGTCATTCGAAGTTCCCCATTTTACTGTATCGTTTATGCATCAGTTTGTTTTTATTACTAAATTATCAGTTTATCAATATGTAAAAAAATGAAATAGCATCCTTTGTAGGATTGCTGATGAAGGGCATGACATTTATAGTGTATCTTGGTGTGTCAATTCAATGGTTTGTTGTATGAAAGGCCATTGGTCCATATACAAGTGAGTTACATACACATACAGTTATATTAACAAATACAGTAGTATACAGAGTGTCAAGTCAACAACAACTGACGTAACATAAAAGCATGATGAATGTATAAACATACTTGTAACTTCTTTGATAGGCCTTTAGAAGTTTGATAACGGTGTTAGAACCTATACCAAAACGTCGCTCTTAATTGTAATAAAGAAGTTGTTCATAAGATCTTTGAAAGGCGTGAAGCATATACTCCGTAACGTTGTGTTCCTCATAATAAAGAAGTTGACATCCCTATATTCTCTTCACATAAGTTGTTCTTCCATAAGTTGTTCATCCATAAATTCTTATCCTTACTAAGATACTTGTTGTTGTAATTTATATTTTTGGTTTGACAGCAGACATAGAGTTATTGGTAGATATACATGAAAATGACCAGAGTGCTATTGTACAAAACAACCTTAGCGCTACGACTGTCGTAAGTCTATGTTATGGTATGGGAGTTACGATCACCTTGGCACTAAGATCACTTGTACAACGGCACCCAGGCTGGTAAATATACCATTCTTATTTTGTTATATATTCTTAGGGACTTGTCAATATCTAAATATCTTCCTTTATTCACTAATAAATCATTTAGACCAAGTCTAAGCATATAAAGGTGTTGCGGAGGTGTTTGAATCTTAAATTTGAAAGATACAACTCTGGTTCAAGGAGAGACTATAAAAACATATTTATGTCACCAGTAGATTGCTAGATCAATATAAATCCAAAGCCATAATTAAAGAGAGTTAAGCGTATACAGGAAGCCCATGTGTTCTTCATATATTATCCAGATGTACCAGCATATTATAAGCTTTCTTTGGCAAACAATGTTCAAGCATATCTAATAACTTCCGCCAACAGTTTTGGCATTCTCCCAAATGCACCATGAATCATATTACTGGGAGTTGACATGCCCACATTAAGAAATCTTACAGGCGAACAAGTCAACTTTTCGACAAAACTTTCAACAGCCCCCTATTTCTGCACCATACAATAAGATTGGGTGTATTTGACAATCAATAAAATGTGAGGTGTAACAAAGTGTCAGCTCAAATAGGTTTCTGTTTACAGCAGCATCAAACTGTTTTTACATGTTTTTACCTACCTGACGTTCGTCAGGTGCTAATGAACTACTGGCAAACATAAAATACTACACAGTCTCAGATGAAACATCACTTTGTGAGGGATAGACAAGTACTAGGCTCTGGCTAGGCAAAATCTAGAGATAAACAGACAATGCCATTCAGAAAGCGATCAAATGTAACAAATGTCATATTTGGGATAACACTTTCTCAGTAAAGTACAGATCTCATACCCATCCGGGATTTAAACCCATATTGCCAGAGAGGGGCACCTAATCACAAGCGCACAAAGTCAGGGATCTAACCCACTCAGCCACCAAGGCTTCCACAGGCTCCTGGAGATTATGCTATGAATTAGATAAAAAAAAAAAAAAATGCTATCAAGTATATTCTAATTCTAGATTTGAAAAGAGCCATGAGTGCAAGAAGTAGAATGTCATGCTGGCTTCCCACATTCCAGATTCAATGTTTTAATACAAAACAACTACAAAATATTGTTATATCCATCAATATGATAAGAATGACCATAACACATTGAATGTATGCAAATTTTTAGCCTAAATTTGACAGTTGCTGACATTAAACATTTAGAATTAAACAGATACAGAAGCTTCCTCTTTACATACAACTCAAGACAGATAACTTAACTTACATGCTTAAGCCAATCAGGACAATCAACACAGACATAATATGTTTTGATAGTTACATCACAATCTGAAGTAACAACACAGCTGATAGCTATCAAAACAATGATTGACAGGCCCGACTCACAGCTTCACCCTACAGTTTATACAGTCAAGTACGACATCAGCTGATCAACAAAGGTAACATATACATTCTACTTTTAAATAATACATGTAATAAGGTAGAATTGATGTGTGTTATATCATTAAATAGACATAACTAAATTCACAAGGTAAGAATTGTAATCAAGAAATCTTGTCTAAATCAAAACTATTCTACCATTTCCCATAAACACAGCTATAAACAAGTTTCAAACTTTGCAGATGCATGGTACGTGTGGTATAGGCCTGTTAAAGAACAGGGAATATCGGGTGATAGAAGTAATACAAGCGTAATGGTTTCACTCCATGATATGCCTGTCAGCTTTGACCAATTATTGATATATTGGTCTGCAAACTACAGTATATCACATTCAATATGCCCTACAGGGATAGACACGACCATGTCTGTTTTTTAAAAAAATCAAGTCATTTTACAAAAACCACTACCGTATTCAACGTAATAAGCCCCCCGCTCTAATAAGCACCCACGGCGATATTTGCTAATATATTGGCTAGTGAACAATCCCATTTAGCACCCCTTCCCATTGATCAATGTACACAAGACTTATTTATTAGCGTACAATGCGCACTCATGTGTTATATGCACCCTTAATTATGGGCAATTAAATACTGGAAAAATATATCTATCGTACATAAACATTTCAGGCTGTCAGCATGGTCAGCATAAACCACGTAATTTATCTTTCAACTCTGGTTTTTTCACCAAAATAATATTCTAATAAGAGTCCCCTAATTCTAATTTTGAGAGCGCCCTGGGCGCTTATTACATCGAATACGGTAGTTCAAAGTGAAAGATGACTGGTTGGATTTGAGCAATGTTGTCTTTCCTGCACTTCTTTCTGTGAACAACAGAAATGGTTTCTGTATGTATTTTATTATGATGCACCAGTACCATGGTGAATTGTTATGCTCCCAGGGACTGCTATATCATAAACTCTCCATCACATGATTTTTAATATTATGAAATGCAAAGGGTATTTGTACAAACAGGGAGTGTCTGCATGCTCAGCTCCCATATTAGCATGACTAGGATGAAGAAACAACACAAATTCAGGTTCTCAGGTTATAACTTTTAAAATGTTAGTGCACAGAGTCTGAAACTCAGCAGAGTAAACTGAGAGCCTTAAGGGCCCGCACATTTCAAAAACTGTGGAAAAACTGTAGGCCCAACCATTTTAGCTGAAGCAGGGAGACATACCCCTGCAAAAAGAATTACAAAACACAACCAGTCAACCAGAAGCTTTTACTGCTATCACACCGAGTTCCCAGAGACTCGGTGGTGATAGATGAAGCCTACATTTATCAGGAAATTATCAGCTTGTAAAACATCTTTGCGACTTCATGTCATTTGAAAGGTCTAATCCTTCTGTTCATAAATATGAAAGCCATGTTTATCACATTACTTAAATAATGCTTAATAAATAATAACTCAAATAAAATGAAATTTAAAACTTTCAGTCCGAGAACAAATCCATCAGCCTCGGGCCTACGGGCCGATGTCTATTTCGAAAACTGTTAGTGCAGCAAAATGACTATCAAACAGAATTACTTACTGCAGACACTGAGCTGATAAGGAAGGGGCTAGGAATCTTAGTCTTGGACTTAGTCTTGTGGATATTTGCCACTCTTTTCAATGTGTTACTAAGTTACTTTGAACATAAGTGTTACCATAGTAACAGTCTTACCCTCTGCATGATGAGCACTCTGCATGCTTTGAAACTTGCCTCCATCTCGATCATTGATGCATTCTTGTACTGTAAATCATCAACATGAATAAATAGTAATAACAGAAAACACATGAACAAGATTAACATGGGCAAAGTATGTCATTATGGTGATATGGTGAGACAATAACACCAAATTTCAAACATCAACAATACAAATCTTGGCTATATAGAAAACATTAACCATATACTTTTTACTTTGTTCACTGAGGTTTTCATCATCAAATGTGTTCATGAAGGGACATCATAAATGACACTGTAAATCCAGTCAGCAACAGTGCAGCCATATATATATACAACCGCTTGTCAATAATCAAATCTGGCCATGGCAAACCACTGGTTGATAGCATGAAGAACAACCATATTTGTGGTGAACACTAACATATATTCAGCAATCACACACTGGGATTACTTTATTCATATTTGATTGGGGCACAGGTGGCCAAATTCTCTTAGGTGTTCCATTTTGCTGTGCAGAGTTGCACCCCTTTGGCATGTCAGGATCCTATGATCATTGACTTGGAATCCAAAATTTGCATGGCTCGTGGGTTTCCCCAAAGTTGTAAGGGTATACAATCTGCATCACTTCTCACTTTCCTCCCATATTAAACTGACACAGCGTCATATAACTGGAATATTGTCCAAAGCAGCGTAAACAAAACTCACAATAGTATTTGGCATGCAGAAGCAAGAGGAAACAGGGATATATTTTGACCATACCACAACTTATTACACCAATATCTATCATAATTTGGATTACATTTCTGCATACATACTTTACTGTAGTTCATAATGGCGTCTTTGTATTTCTCAATGATGTCATCAGGGTGAAGGCCACCTTGAGCAGAGGCATCAGCGAGGTCAAGGCCATTCGCATAGGTCGATGCTAAACAGGAAAGACATAAATATGACAAAGTCAAACTCATATAGCATGCAATGATCCAGTGTTAAAAAAAATCCTTCACAAAAATGAAAACATGAGTCAGTGAGTGAGTGTAGTTTTAGGCCGCATTTAGCAATATTTAAGCAATGTCATGACGAAGGGCACCAGAAATGGGTTTCACACATTGTACCCATGTCAATTGTGTGGATGAAAACAAGAAATAATCTAAATGCTCCTTAGCATATGGAGGACCAAATATTCACCTTATAATCAAGTGTGTAACATAGCATTCTGCTGCAAGGTAAACACTGCAGCCTACACACCAAGGACATGAAAATGGATGCAAATGTGAGCTATATGGGGTCTGAAAAAGCATGTCGATTTAAACAGTCAATATCGGTTCTTTTTCATTCAAAGTTTGACTCTTTTGGCTGCAAAGTCTTCATCGATAAACTTTAAAGCTACAGGCAACAAGTTGATTGATGTGACTGGTAGTTTTGGAAATTAAGAAAGTATGCTGGATATCACCAGTCTGTAGACATGAAGGTTACATACCAGTAGGTCACAAGACTTACAAAAGCTAGATACTCTTAAACATGTTAAATACAGGGCTGAAACGACACTTCAGTGCACTGGTGGATCATGAGTTTTCATGTGATGATGATACACCATAGACGATACACTTACTAAAATAAATTACTTGCTACTCGTTTAATGACCCCCCCCCCCCGCCAAATATTGCAAAATGTGTTGTTATTAGCTTTTTAAATTCATTACTAAAAATAGGTGCTGCAAATGTGTCTACAGCTAGCTTTTCCTTGATTTGACGTAAATATGTATATTGCGACATGTATCGTATCATGACCTATGTATCATGATACCTATCGCATTGTGACCTTGCTGTATCGCTTCTTACCTAGTTGAATACCTGTGAAAATATTTAGATACATTCAACAATCTCAAGCAAAAAGACAGGATGTTTTCCAATTTAAGTGGCAACCTACACTTTGAAGGGATGCTATCATTAATGAGAGCAGCTCCCCTCTTGACAGAGAATGACTGGTTCCTCCGCAATGGGACAGTGTTGCTGCCATTACGTGGGTATGTTAGGATGGTTGATGCAGAACTAAGTCCCTCATAGCAGCCTGAAACACCAAACATAAGTCTCTTGACACGTATGTATCAGCAGAGTATTGAGGGCAAATCACAAGGATCATTCGTCACCACTTGCACATTTCCGTAACCTGCAAGAAAATACAACAAACCAATCAGAATAAGCTTATGACCTCAAGTACCGGTACTTCTGTCAAAGAATCCCTCAGGAATAATCTTTTTCGATTTAAAATGTGTTCCGTCATACTGTAAAAATAAGTGAAGTCCTGGTGTGTTTAAAATAGCATCTAGACAATACATGACATGAGGGAATCGTCGCGGAACCAAGTTGCAAAAAATGGACACGAGAGGTGCATTAGTCGCTATTCAGCTTGTCCCGGAATAACACCAGTTGGTCACGAATGCACAAGGATAGATAAGCCCCTTATCAACATTTTTTGACACTGTCAAGTGTGTGGGGGGGTTATCTTAGATTCTCAAACATGTACAAACTGGGGATTCAGATTTTTGCTAGAGACTCAAATCAAAAGTACAATTTTTTCTCTGAAAGAGATGCCAAACAATTGTCATTTTTTTCACAACACATATCTTCACATAATTTTTCATGACATCTTAGAGATCTAGCATGTACAGCGAATAATTGCCATTATCTTTTATAAAAAATCTGTGTCAAATCGTTTTCTGGAACCAATTATTTACTTTGAAACAATCCCAGCTAATCTTCCCACATAATATCAAATGGTCAGTCACCAGGGACTTATCTAGGCTTGCTCAGAGGCTGATATACAGCCCCAAGTCTGCAGCAAATGTCAGTAAACATTCCGCAATTGGAAATACCCATTTCCCAAATCCTAATATTCAACTATAGTTTTAGGCCTACAAAGAAGTGGTTCTCAGGCAATGGCTTTTGAAAAAAATAGTGCAGGCAGCCGGTACAATCAACCTGGGAAAGGGCATCCCTAAATAAATGTATTCCTTGATGAGTAAAATACTGGAATACAGTATCTGACTACTGTTGGACTACCAGTGCGTGCATAATACATGCGTACAATGAGCATTGATTTTATTTCACAACACGTTGTTATCATGAGCACACAACACCGGAAGAATCATGTCAACAAATCTATACTGAAGTACGCAAGTTAGTCCTGTTATTCCACTATCTGGCTATAAAAGGGTTCATTGTGTACTTGGACTTACGTTTGTTATCCATAAAGTTACTTTTATCCAAGATTTCACTCAACTTTGTTTACATTAATTTCAAAAAAATCGTGTATGATCAGCAAATCACATCAACTCACCATGAACTCGCCTTGAAATGAACATTTCTCCTGAGAGATACAAAGTCTTCAGTTTCCTATCACTGTATTGAAATTTCTTTTCAGTTATGAAATTGGCCATAACATTAAGTACATAAGATAGGGGAGAAAATGACTTAAAGAGCGAACAGCTGATTGCTATTTCTGCATTTTCTTATGAGACAAATACACATGTAATCATAATCTCAGCATGTGAAACATTGTAAGGCACACAGTACACAAATACTGTTGAATTTGTAAATCATCCTGTCTAGTGATGTTTTATTGGCAAAACAAGCACACAAACTCCTACTGCTGCCATGACCATAACCCATGATATTGCATCGCATTGTTTTTAAGTATTGTAGCATTTCACTGCCAGTGTTATGTGTTCAAGACGCAGAATATTTAACATGTTTAAGAATATTTCTTTTTTTGAAAATAGAAATAAAAACAAAACATGCGGCGAACTTTATGGTGATGCAGATGGTGCCTGAGAACCAAGACTATTATTTTTTTCGCCTTATAGGACCATTAGGAATAGCTTATAAAGTAAACATGGTAAACACATTTAATTAACCATGTTAACAGGCTACATGGAAACTAATATTTGGACATGTTGGAAAATTGATTCACATGGGAAGCCAAACATTAGCAATATGGTAAAAAGTAGTCAGAATGTTTATCATTGTTTATGATGATTTCTCTGAAAGTATTAATTAATACCTTTACAGCATAATTTCTATTTGACATTTGTCACTTGTTTTAAATAGTTTAGCCTTAATCTGATTGGTATGGATCATTCAAACAACCATTATTCATTCAACCAACCATTTATTAACATGATTAACATAGAAATTCTCTGCTTCATACCTCCAATCCAGAGAAAGTCATTCACACTACGCAGCATGTCCATGGCCGTCTGGTAGTGCAGGATTGCCTCCCCTGGCATGGCTGCCTGGAGACACAGATCGGCCAGATGTTTCCGTAGACGACCCATACACTTCTTCTTGAAAGACCTGGATCAGCAACAAGAAGCAACTATACATGCAATCAGGTCCACACAAACAGATGCCCAAACCATAGTACAGCTGCCATCATGGTCATCATGTTCGTGGCTGTTGTCATTTTATCTAGCAGTAGCAGTTCTCCAACACTGCAGTCTTATCGGTGGTGGTTATGTCATGGCTTTAAAATCATCATGCTTCATGTGACAACTCATCCCCTTTTTGTCAATGGTTCTGGCATTTATATCTGAGACAACCCTAAGAATCCATGAAAACAATGATAAAATATGATGTACACAATGATACTCTCTGAGTAGACACCCTTCACTTTGGTTAACCAAGTACTAGCATTTCATGAAGTTGGACATGTTGGAGACTGATGGACTAGGTGAACACAAACAAAGTGAGCGAGTTGGGTCTAACACCACTTATCCAGCTTTATTGGGGGGAAAACATGATGTCAGAGTAAAACTTGAGTTTATTAAAAATGTATGAAGATGTCATCATGTAATCGCTAAGGTTTGAACATTTCAGTGATATTTTTATGAAGGAAACAAGCAATACATTGCAACAATGCCGCTTATCATGCTTATAGCCTCATGGTTTGGTTGACAGTACCATAAGGGGCCTTGGCAAACTGACACAAGCTAGGCTACTGCATGGCTTGTATATATTCCATTTTGCAAATCTTGCTTTGATAAATAACTGACGAGTTCAAGTAAAAAAACACTCTTTACCAAAAAAATTGTACATATGCGATTCTAGTGACCACGAATATCGAATTCAATTCAAGAAGGGATATTGTTCGATTCACATGATTCACCAAATATGTGAATGAATTGAAACCATGGTAACAGCACTAGTGGGCTAGCATTCTATAAACATGATAAATATCCTAAGTGGTGACTGAACATGCTGAAGTTTGTTTGTTGTTCAACACCGCACTCAACAACATTCCGGCTGTATCATGTATATGACAGCGGTCTGTAAATAATCGAGTTTGGGTCACACAATCCAGTGATTGACATCATGAACATTGATCTATGCTATTGTCATACAACCATGACATGCATCAACATGATCAAGCAAGTCGGCGATCCTGACCACCGATCCCATTTCATAGTCGCCTCTTACAACAAGCACGGTTGCTGAAGACTAATCCTAACACGGATCTTCACTGGGTACTGACATTGACAACACTTAATTAAAATACACCGAAAACAGTGTCTTGTGTGAGAAGAGGAACCAAACTTTCTGCTGGATCACTCAACACATGCTCAACACATATTATCATGATTATCTAAGTAACTTTGAGGCCAAATTTGACAATAATATTACCAGTAAAAGCATGTTAAGAAAGGGAGGTGTTGCTTTGTTTCCTCTTTAACTTGAAACATAAGTATTACAGTGGAAATACATAATAAAATAATGCTTATTTTAGCATTAAACTTTGATATTATTAACATGATTAAGACACTATTACCATGGGTTACTAACAAAATGATGGATATAAAAAAATATTAAGAAACTACTGTCACAAAAATGGTGTGCATTTTTCCAGAAGTATGTATACCATGAAGGAGTGAGTGAGTGAGTATGGTTTTACGCTGCTTTTAGCATTATTCCAGCAATATCACGACGGGGGACACAAGAAACCCGGGTCTTCGGCATGACGAGCGAACGCATTAACCACTAGACTACCCGACCGGCCATATACCATGAATGAGTGAGTGAGTGAGTTGGGTTTAACATGTTTAACGCCGCTTTTAACAGTATTCCAGTTATATCACGGCGTGTCAGCTTAATGTGGGAGGAAAGCCCGAAGTGATGCAGGTCTCAGACGTTTACCACTTCGGTGAAACCCACGAGCACGGGTATGGTGCTGACAAACCTAGAAACATAATCAGGGCGAACCGGGATTCGAACCCACAATCATAGGTTTCTGGCGTGCCCAAGGGACGCAACTCTGCACAGCGAATCGCGGCGCCTTAGACGACTGGGCCACCCGTGCCCCCATACCATGAAGGAAGATAGACACATGTACATACATTAGATGCAGCTGAAGGGCACATTTTACATACTGGCACCGTTACCAAATTTATTACCGTGTGTGTAACCATAGTAACATGGACACAAATAAATGCAACCCAACACTGGGGAGTTATGTTATATGTGAGCAAAGACCCAAGTGATGAGTAAAATGAAGTAAAATAAATGACCAGTGATCAACATGATCAATGCAGACAAATGATCATAAATGGAATTCGAAACAAAACAACTTACTTGGTTTCCTGGTCAACCCCAACATAATCCTTCTTCTCAAATGGAGCACACAGTAGGTGAAGACGGTCAGCTCGCTCAAATGACCTGTCCAGTCTTTTGCCCTCCAGGACATAAAACAATGATGTAATAAACTCCTTCAGTCTCTCCTCAAGATCAGCTGAATGTTCCAGATCCGGATAAAACACAACCTCAGCCCCAGTGCTTTCCTTAGTCAAACTGTTACTGTGTTGTCTCTTCACATTAGGCAATGGTTTTTCCTTCTGCCCCTTCTCCGATGTGTCCTTTTCCCCATTGGTTGACAAAGGATCTGTTTTCAAGTTGTTATTGGGGGATGTTCTGCCCTCGTTTTCATCCTTATTATCTACAACAGTCTTCTCCTCCACAACCTTACTCTCCTCATTGTCACCAATCTTACTCTCCTCTTCAACAAGCGGCGACCCATCAGTGTTCATACCAAACACAACTAAACGGGAATTGAAAATTGTGTTGGCATACTCCTCCTTCACCCGTTTGTAATGATCAAATAGGTCTTCAAATTCTTTATGGTTTGAGCAGTATCCAACAGATATTAAACCAAGGACTTTTCGATGTGCTTGGAAATCTCCCCATTCATTGTTTTCCTTTGGGTAGCCCCTTTTGTAACGCACATAGATATTTCGGTTTTGATTCTGGATGTGAATGCAGTTGAGGCGTTTCATTCTTTCCCAGGCCCGAGCAAAGCCCTGCTGTTTGAGCCTGACTCCTGTGTGGCGTACAAGGACAAGCAGGGATTGGTGGTCCTCGGCTGTCTGGCCATAGTCCACACAGCTCAGTGGAGACGTGGTACTGCTCGATGTAGACATGGTACTGCTCACTGTCTTCTAGCAACTCGAGGAAACATCTGGTGTTGAACATCTGGAAAAATGGGGATTATTTCAAAAGAGTGGAAATAACACTACTTCTCCTGGATGGTTAAGGCCATTTGAACAGTATTTCAGTTATAAATATCATGATGTTTCAGTTTGATGTGGGAAGAAAGCCTGATGTGATGCAGGTCATAGACATTAGCACTTCATAGGTTTCTGACACACCTAAGGGATGTGACTCCACACAGCGGGTTATGCTGCTTTAGATACGTGGACCACCCATGCACCCTTCGAAGCATCATAAAGATTCAGAGCTATTTCAGTTGTAGCAAATAGTCTATCATGGTCTATCACCTTAAATACAATGTAAAACGTATATATATTTCACCTATTTTGACTTTTTTTTACTGTCACTACGTTTAAAAGTAACTTTGTTATTTTATTTGAAGTAGACTCGTGTCTCTGACTCATGTACCTCACACAGCTTTTGTTTATTAAACAAGTTACTTTGGACTTTGCTTACCACTGAAATGAAAATGCTACCAGGAAGCCAAATATTGCCATTGGAATAATAGGTTCATGTTGCATTTCTTATGATGGTGTTAAAGAATATTCATATGATATTTTCCAACATGTTTATCATAATGTTATGAATATTATTTCTAACTTGATTGAAACAAACAATACAAACAACCCACTTTTAAAGATTATAATTTTGTTGAACAAAACGAATGCTGAATAATTATCATTGCTGAAGGACTAGTAGGTATCAGTTATAAAAGTATCCTCCCACCAAATTATTTCAAGTAGTTTCATGTCAGTGGTATCAGAAGTCAAACCAGCCAAATTCAGTTTCTGAAAGAGATAAATACTGTATTTGATGTTATAAGCGCCTAGGGCGCTCTCAAAAATAGAAATAGGGGGCTCTTTTTAGAATATTATTTTGGTGGAAAAAACAGAGTTGAAAGATAAATTTTGTCGTTTGTGCTGATGGCCTCAACTGTTTATATACGACAGATATATTTTTCCTGAATTTAATTGCCCATAATTAAGGGTGTATATAACACACGCGTGCATATTATACACGAATAAATAAGTCTTGTGTACATTGATCAATCGGAAGGGGTGCTTATTGGGATTGTTCACTTGCCAATACATTAGCAAATATCGCTGTGGGCGCTTATTAGAGATGGGCGCTTATTACGTCGAATACGGTATGAGCCATTTGCTAACCATGTAAAAAGTTTCCATTTAAAATATTTCAATCATATCCCAGAATGCTGAATACAGTTCATGTTCACTAAATAGGTTGCCACAGCATTCATAACTTTTCAATTTTCAAATTCCTCACATTAGTATGATTATACATTTGTAACAGTGCCAGTGGCATGGTTAGTTTCAAATTGGTCTGGGTAAAATAAGTTCCAGGTGCTGAAGGGGAATCACATACCACGTAGCGTGCTTAGAGATCATATTTCTTTTCAAATTAAAAATTGTGTAAGAAGTATTTTTTATGAAGCCTGTGACCATGTTTACAAATGTACATCCACACATATAAAATAGTCAAACCCATGTGAAATGAATAAATGAACATTGATAGATTTGCAAGTTGAAGCCAGTTACGTTTTGATAACAAGGTTATTTTTAGGTGCTACCATCAGTTCTAATCCCTGATAACAATCATATCAATACTTCAATAATGCACACATAATCATACCACATGCAGAAGTAAACTGACATCAACTGTCATGAATGTTCTTATACTAAACTGATAACTTTCACTTGTGTTTGTATACAACTAACAACAATATAGAACAAAGGAGAGAAGAAAAATTTGCTGATGAAAATACTATTTCCACAATAATCATGACATGCTAGTCAAAGTAAAACACACGCCCCAAACTGCTGATTAGTATGGCTAGTTGGCTGAAGGTGTCAAGCACAGATTGATGACTATCTTAAAGGTTTGTTCCCCTCTTCCCCTGTCTTCGTTACAGCACAGTGAGTGAGTGAGTGAGTGAGTGAGTATGGTTTTACGCCGCTTTTAGCAATATTCCAGCAATATCACGGCGGGGGACACCAGAAATGGGCTTCAAGAAATGTACCCATGTCGGGAATCGAACCCGGGTCTTTGACGTGACGAGCGAACGCTTTAACCAGTAGGCTACCCGACCACCCCTCGTTATAGCACAGACTGATATAACCAGTTATACAAGTTGGTGGTCATAGTCTTACCACGTTGAACAGTTACTACATGGTCAACGACAGAGTAAACACGATGAGTGTATGGTAAGCAACATTCATTCTTTAACTATATCATATATGTTTAGTTGTTTGTTTGTTGTTTAACACAGCACTCAGCAATATTCCAACATTATGACCAGTCTGTAAATAATCAAGCCTAGACCAGACACTCCAGTGTTTGACATCATGAACATTGATCTACACAATTGCATGCATCAACCAAATCAGCGGACCTGACCAACCGATCCCGTTAGTCGCCTCTTACGACGAGATGGTTTGCTAAAGACCATGCGAATTTTAACTTGGATCTTCATCATGTTCATGGGGGTATTAGCATAATCATGTTTGTAGAGTTGAGGCATAATATTATTAATAATAGTTACAAGTGAAACTGAAAGTTAGACATTGTTCTATATGATTAGAGCTATAAGTTATAACTAACTGTTAGGTTGATCTTCATCATACATTTTGGAGTCACAAAATTCAAGGTAGTGATATAAATAATCAAGGAGTGCTTGGTTTGGTGAAAATAACAGCCATTTAGGGAATTTTAACTTCAATCAGAGTGAATTCAAAGCTTAAATGTAATGAACGTAGAAAAAATACTGCACAGACACCGCTTTAGCATGTAATCGATCTCGACACATGTCAGCTGATTTCTGTTATAGTTCCAGGACGCATACAAGCATCACATATTGTTCACTGATTTAAGATCAAGATCACACAGCAATAAAAATATCCAAAATTACACAACATATATCGCAGAAACAAACCGGCGTGTGTCACAATAAGATATCACTGTGCAAAGAATCTAGAAATCACGTCTTATGATCCCTCAATCGAATTCCACCCCTCTTTCTAACTTCTCGACTTTGACAGATCGTTAAAATGGGTAACTGATCATAACGTTAATGGCACCCATGCCCATATCACCATGAAGCTGCATGAATGTGACACATATAATCGAGCATACATATGATCTCGTAATATCTGAGAAATAGCATCTTACATCACATCAAACAACTTCGATTTCTCAGGCCATCGCATATTGGCAGCCATCTTGGTTCGTGTGATCTCGTCAAATAACGCATCAGCGAGACGTCAACGAGAACAGACATTCCGCCTCCACTCTTGGTCGTGATATTTAGAGCAACGACATAATCGATACTGAAACGTGCTTCGGGGCAAGCTTGGTTGGGAATGATGACAGTTCTCCGTGACCTTCTAACTGAATATTGAACATGAAATTACACAGAAACTTATGTCGAAGCAGGGGAATTATACAAGGAAATCTTCACTCCGAAAACACCGATCGATACTTTCTACCCATATTCTGGTGAAAGTACAAATAGACATAATGCCTTCATTTTCTGTTAATTTCCTTACAATACCCATAGGGTTACGAGGTAGAACAGTAGATATATCCTCTACCTTTTGAATTAAAAGCAGGCTGAGTTCTGTGACCATGCAGAATGGAGGTCATATCGTGCGTTGATGTATTCCATACGCTGTCAATCACTGCATGGTTTGCCTGGTCCAGAGTCGACCCTAACATAATGGTGTTTTGTGTCTGTTTGTTTAACACCGCACTCCGCAATATTCCAGCAATATGACAGCGGCCTGTAAATAATCGAGTCTGGACCAGACAATCCTGTGACTGACATGATCCATGAGCATCGATTTACGGGATAGGTACATCGAAATGACATGCGTCACATGATGTGATTCTAATGACTGTTCAACAACATTTTCTCTCAGACTAAATTACAGTTTTTCAAAATGATAACTCGAGTCTCCACCTACTTAAATACATGCAGTCTCATTAAAATGAAATATTTTACTCCTGTGCCATACATCTCTGCGGGAACAGGTATATCTCATCAGAGTAAACTATCTGATTTTATGAGATTGGGCTATCTCTGTATTTTCAAATGACACAGTCACTGTTAAAATCGCATTCTGACGAAACGTGTTTTTGTAAAGTGACATACTCATATAGAAATACATGTACACAAACGGATCACATGGCATGGTGTTACTGTGTCATGGCGATATTGGTATTTGATTCCACTTTATTTCTAACTCTTCTTATTTGCATCATATGATGTGGCCAAATACTTTCGACCATCAAGACTACCATTTCAGCAGTTGTCTTTTTTTTTATCAAAAGAGATCAGTGTTATATTCGTTTTGAACGTCTTATGTGTACGATGAATAGTTATATAGGGTCGGGTGTGTGTTATGTAGACTTTTTCCAAAGATCCACTGGGGATCAGAATACATGAAAATAAGTGATGGTGGTTGTTTTGCCTTTTGCAAGGCGCATAAATTCACATGAATAGAATGATATTAGCTGTTAAACGTATTCGTAATTTGCTGGGTGAGTGAGTTAGGTTTTACGCCGCTTTGAACAGTATCCCGGTTATATAACGGCGTGCCAGCTAAGCCCGAAAGTGGCGAATATCTCAGATTGGTTGGTTGGTTGGTTTATTGTTTAACGCCGCACTCAGCAACATTCCAGCTATATGACGGCGGTCGGTAAATAATCGAGTCTGAACCAGACAATCCAGTGATTGACATCATGAGCATCGATCCACGAAATTGGGACCGATGACATGCATCAACCAAGTCAGTGAGCCTGACCACCCGATCCCGTTAGTCGCCTTTTACGACAAGCATGGGTTGCTGAAGACCTATTCTACCCCGGATCTTCACGGGTCGAATATCTCAGACATTTACCACTTTGGTGAAACTCACGAGCACGGGTATGGTGCTGACAAACCTAGAAACATAATCGGTGCAACGATCGATCACAGGCTCCTGGTGTGCCAAAGGGGCGCAACTATGTTAGTGAATTTACGTAATAAGACTGCATGGCCTGGTCGCAAGAACACAGGGAATGGTTCTATTCAGTTTTACAAACATTTGCCAGAGGGAACTCAGTGAGAATTTTTGAAAAAAAATAGACCGCCTAGCTGTCCTTAGAGAAGGCAATATTATCCCTTTTAGATGAAGTAACTTAATTTTTTGTATCGTTCATGACTTAACGTGCGCTTCAGTCTAATGCTAATTTCTAGCATCGTCTTGTTTCAGGTAAATAATTGGGTTAGGTGAAGTGAAATGGGTGAATTTAACGTCGTGTCAAGATTATTGCACTTATATAGCGACGCACATGCACGTGTGTATATGTGGCTGCTTGTACTAGTCCGGACTGATGTCGATTTGTAGTGCTAGCCCACTGAGATACCACGCAGCAGTGTCACATGAATACCCCACTCAAGCACAGTATACTGACTCGAGCCGACCAGTCTTTGTTTTAGCACCTCAATGCCGAGCGCCAGATAGGGTAACAACAAGTACCACATTTTTACGTCTTTTGGTATGACGCGGCCGGGGATCGAACCCCGGACCTTCCACCCTCCTTGCGGACGCTTTACCATTAGACCACGAAGGCGGTCTTAAATTCTTGGGGAGACTATGGAATAGAGCTTGGGTTTTATATAATCCAAATTGATTTCGGCACGGGGTATGTCCGTTGTGTACGGATTGCGTGATTTAGTGACCTTTTAGGTTTTGTTGCATTACCTCAGACATATTGTATCAAATGAATACCCCACTCTTAAGAAACAGCCGGACATGGCAGTACAGCAATGTGATGCTTCCTCAAAACGTCTGTTAAAAGTGCAACGTTAGCGTAAGCCATTCAAGTTGCCATTAACAATGACGAGTTATTTCCTCCCATGAGTTGTGATGCCTCCACTTACTATGACACTACCACCCCCAAACTGACGACGTTGTATAACACAAGCGTTGCTAAGACGTTCTCCTGGACGCCCGCAGATCATTGCTCGACCACCAGAGCTGTCAGATGAAACTACTCACCTGTGATACTGTCCAAACCTTGTATTCAGAACCTCAGATGCCGTCTACACCAAGCTAGGCGTGCCTGACGGTGACGTGAGAGAAAAACTGAGCGTATCCCTGGACGTCGTGGTCAGATGATGTGCTCCCCCAACCGGTTCCGCACGGTTCAGCCACTAATTGGTCTCAACCCATGAATTGTCCGAGCTGTTAATGTGGGAGTTTGTTATCGATTCCGTAGATGCACCAACCGAATATGGTGACGCACGTCGACTTGCCGGTTGCAAGTCACGAGTGTTGCCCTGCTTTAGATGCTATTGTGTATCGATGAACATTAAAATGTCTGGCATTCGTTTTGCGCTTTTCTTGACTTCATCATACCGCAGACGTTGACGCTGAGCTTCAGCAAGCCGTGGCATTACGTAAGCTTTATTTACGGTTAAACAAAGTTGTTTTTTGGCACCTGATAGCCAAACAATCAGTGTGCTCTGTTCTCATTTAAAACAAACAACGTGTGTAAGTATCACACTCCCAACAAACACGCAAACATCCGAATTGTGCGCCGCTCATTAACGTGCACGTGCAAATTGTGATCACAACCTTGAAGTCGAAATGTCTTCATGAACATGTTTTGAAAGATGCATTTATTTAATGTAAGAATAAAATTATTATTATCCAAATGAAGCCCGGTTACCTTTTCCGTTAGTATATTTTAAAATCTGTTGGACAGCTCATTGGCCTCTGCCTGTGAAAAGAGTAGCTTGGACTCGGAAAGAGAGGGCACCAAGGTAACTGCGTGTGCGTGTCACCGGACTCACACGGTGATGGTCTGTCTGGGCCAGGATTGGACCGTTGCGTGTCTCCGTAATGGTCTGTCTGGGCCAGGATGGGACTGTTGCGTGTCTCCGTAATGGTCTGTCTGGACCAGGATTGGACTGTTGTGTGTCTCCATAATGGTCTGTCTGGACCAGGATTGGAGTGTTGCGTGTCTCCGTAATGGTCTGTCTGGGCCAGGTTTGGACTGTTGCGTGTCTCTGTAATGGTCTGTCTGGGTCAGGATTGGACTGTTACGTGTCTCCGTAATGGTCTGTCTGGACCAGGATTGGACTGTTGCGTGTCTCCGTAATGGTCTGTCTGGGCCAGGATTGGACTGTTGCGTGTCTCCGTAATGGTCTGTCTGGGCCAGGATTGGACTGTTGCGTGTCTCCGTAATGGTCTGTCTGGGCCAGGATTGGACTGTTGCGTGTCTCCGTAATGGTCTGTCTGGGCCAGGATTGGACTGTTGCGTGTCTCCGTAATGGTCTGTCTGGACCAGGATTGGACTGTTGCGTGTCTCCGTAATGGTCTGTCTGGGCCAGGATTGGACTGTTGCGTGTCTCCGTAATGGTCTGTCTGGGTCAGGATTGCAGAGCAAGGAAATTGCTGACGGCGTAAATTTATCACAACAATGACAACCCATTAGAAGCAGTTGAAGCGTACGTACAATGAACAATAAAGGGAAATAACTCTTGCTGCCATACGCTATATTTTTACCCCGCAGTCGAACAGTCTGAGACTAACTATCACGTTACAACCCAGTCACACGTCTCATCCATGGGTGTAGTCCTCGTGGCAATGCACCCTGTGCCAGGCAGGAGGAGGATGTTTCATAAAGAAGGTAGTTTCATAAAAGGCCATATCCGCGATGGAATAGCTGAAATATTTCTTACTTCAACGTGAAAGTACATTAACTTTATATACTCACAGAATGCACACGGCAGAGACGGGGCTGAATACTTTCCAACTCTCCATAGACACCGGCCTCTGCATGCCAACGTGCAGTCATTCTAGACAGTTCTGCCTTTTACATGTATGTGATGCATGTAAAAGGCGACTATGCTTGTCGTAAGAGGCGACTAAAGGGATAGGGTGGTCAGGATCGCTGACTTTGTTGATGCATTTCATCGTATCCCAATTGCGTGGATCGATGCTCATGATGTCAATTACTGGATTGTCTGGTCCAGACTCGTTTATTTACAGACCGCGGTCATACAGCTGTAATATTGCGACGTTAAACAACAAACAAACAAACAAAATATGCTCCTGACAATTTATCATATGGAGACCATTTTATGCTTGACTCTATTCGCCTTTTCCAAAGTTTGCACATACGATTCAAATTCCTCTATTCGGAAATATGGTTCGGAAATCCAGAGACAGTATGGGGAATCTTCCAACACTGATGTTCTGCTTTAGATGCAACGATGATAATCGGAGTGAATCATGGATTCGAATCCACGACAAAAGATGGATATGTTTAGGTGAATGAGTTTTGTAATGATAGTTGTCTGAAATGTTCCATGATGCTAGAAAGTCATCATCCCTACTCATTGCAAAGTCGAACATCGCTTATACCATTCGTGGACACTCGTGTCAATCCGGATGGATTGCGATTGTAAGTGAGTATGGTTTTACTGAGATACCATGCCGCAGTTTAACATGAATACCCCACTCAGACACAGTATACTGACCCCGAGCCGACCAGTCCTTGTTTTAGCCCCTTAATGCCGAGCGCCAGACAGGGTAACAACAAGTACCATCTTTTAATGTCTTTTGGTATGACGCGGCCGGGGATCGAACCCCGGACCTTCCGCTGTCCGGGCGGACGCTCTACCACTAGACCACGGAGGCGGTCCAGCACCATATACGTAGGCCATGGATTGTCAATTTCCTTCGAGACAGGGGCGGTCGGGTAGCCTTCTGGTTAAAGCATTAGCTCGTCACGCCGAAGATCCGGGTTCGAATGACGACATGGGTACAATGTGTGAAGCCCATTTCTGGTTTCCCCCGCCGTGTAATTGCCGAAATATTGCTAAAAGCGGCGTAAAACCATACCCACTCACTCACTCTTACGAGACATACTTACACCGCCATCAGTGTTTCATCTCAAGTGCTATCTGCTGCACGCATACTTCCTGGAGTCGACCCGTGACGATTCCGGGGTAGAATAGGTCTTCAGCAACCCATGGCTGCCGTTAAAGGCGACTATGCTTGTCGTAAAAGGCGACTAACGGGATCGGGTGGTCACGCTCGCTGACTTGGTTGATGCATGTCATCGATCCCAATTGCGTGGATCGATGCTCATGATATCAATCACCGGATTGTCTGGTCCAGACTCGATTATTTACAGACCGCCGCCATATAGCTGGAATATTGCTGAGTGCGGCGTTAAACAACAAACCAACCAACCAACCAACTTCCTGGAGTCTTTGATAGGCATTTAGAAGTTGGGAGAACATGAACACATGACACTTTTTTATTGATAGCAACAGTTACTTCTTTTATTCTTTGTCATGACGTTTCAGAACTACTTCTCTAAATGAACCCGATGAAGGAGCAAGAAAGCTCTGAAACATCGTGACAAAGAATAACAGGCGTTGCTATACATTAAAAGTGTTATGTATTCATATACTTGCTGGGTTTAAAGCCTGCATAATTTCTGCTGTACCGACTCTGCTTTGTGTTCTGTTCAGCTTGACACGATTTTGAAAGTTCAATGATCAGGTCATAGTTGCCTTTGGTATGCTGCTTTAGCCTTATTTTGTTATACGTAATTCACAAGCATATAGCTGTGTGTATACAGGACGGGTGATGCTCAGGCCTGCATTTACATATTGTAGCTTAAGATCTTCAACACGTTATATTGCGTATGGTTTTGAAATGTCTCGCCCATTCAATACGTTAATTATTTCAATATTGTATTCAATTCTGCACAGTAGTGTATATACAACCTTCATGTATTTTACAGGGGCACGAGTGGCCCAGTCGTCTAGGGCGCCGCGATTCGCTGTGCAGAGTTGCGTCCCTTGGGCACGCCAGAAACCTATGATTGTGGGTTCGAATCCCGGTTCGCCCCGATTATGTTTCTAGGCTTGTCAGCACCATACCCGTGCTCGTGGGTTTCACCGAAGTGGTAAACGTCGAAGACCTGCATCACTTCGGGCTTTCCTCCCACATTAAACTGACACGCCGTGATATAACTGGAATACTGTTAAAAGCATGTATTTTACAAGGATAAGGACCAAGACGGCTCCATCGGCTATGTAAAAATAATTCGCACCTGGCTTGAAGGCAAGTATAACGGCATACGTGAACTTTTGTTTGCTAAACATGTTTGTGTATTAAAACATGTGTTATTTTAAAAGAGATATAAATGTTTAGTTGCCTGTTTTGGTAACTAATTTTAACCATTCGTTCCTGAATAAAATATTATTCAAACTGCATTTATTTAGCTTACCTCTTGCTGAAATGTGTGGCCTGGTCAATATCAAATATCCATGTCAATGAAAACCCGGACATTAAAGGCATAACATAATTATATTTGGTACAGTAAACTACGTTTATAACGAACACGCTTATAACGAACTTACCGATATAACGAACTTATTGTTTAAACCCTGCCATTTGGTGTGTATATGCTGTATATATGCTTATAACGAACTACGGTTATTACGAACTAAAATTAGTGGTCCCTTGAGTTCGTTATAACCGTAGTTTACTGTATTATGTAAAACCAGATGTTTTATCAACCAAAACTCATGTCGTTGTTGAAATATAAAACGTCAATGCTAGAGATTATGCAAAGTTATGCCGGAATCGTAAGCATTTATAGAATTCTTGTCTGCAAGCTGGGACCTTGTAACTATTCCACCAGTAAAATGTATGTACATGTAGAACGCATTAACAGAGTATTGATGTCTGGAACGGTTACTGAACACAAAATTGCCATTTGGGATCAGAATTATGCACGCGAAGTTTTTTAATTTTTTTTAGATTGGCTTGTTTGTTTGAATGGAACGTGCTCTTTCATGTACCAATGAACAAGCTAATTTATTTTAAAAAAACAACTTAGATGCTCTGAGAACCATATGTGGCGCTGTACGGGGGTACGAACACTCTTCAATACGTAAATACATCAGTTGTTAGATGCGTGTATAGAGACTTATAGTTCATCCCTCTTCAACATGTTTGTTTGTTTTGTTTGTTTGTTGTTTAACGCCGCACTCAGCAATATTCCAGCCATACGACGGCGGTCTGTAAATAATCGAGTCTGGACGAGACAATCCGGTGATTGATATCATGAGCATTGATCCACGCAATTGGGATACGATGACATGCATCAACCAAGTCAGCGAATCTGACCACCCGATCCCGTTAGTCGCCTATGACGATAAGCATAGTCGCCTTATACGGCAAGCTTGGTTTGTTGAAGACCTATTCTACCCCGGATCTTCACGGGTCTCTTCTATTTGTAATAACATCAGTTAAAATTGTTAGCTAAATTTTGGACTGGGTGGTGTACAACCTTCTTCTATATGTAAATACATCAGTTGTTAGCTAAATGTATAGAGACTGTATAGTACATCCCTCTTCTATAAGTAAATACATCAGCTGTTGGATGAGTGAATAGACACTGGGTGATGTACCACTAATAAAGCATTGCACGGAGAAGAAGCCACGAGGGGCACAGTCTCTATGAAGTCTCTCGTCTCCCCTTATCGTTGCAGGATCCGTGACTGTGGGTTCGAATCCCAGCTTCTGAATCTTGTACTGTTAGCAAAATGTCAGGAATCACTGGTTGTTGGTTCGAATCAGAGATTCGCCATGTCTGGTCTGCCAGCACCCATATCTTCTAGCTACCTTACATTTTCTTTCGAGACGCGCGGTGATATAACTCAAAAACTATTCAAAGCGGCGCTTATCCAAACTCTCTCACTCGTAGATACAGGTGAGGTGAGGTGAGGTGAAATGGGGTTTAACGTCGTGTTAAAGATTATTGCACGTATGTAGCGACAGCCGGATTAACGCCGGTTTCATAGCGTTAGCCATGCAGCAATTTAACATGGCAACCCAAATGAGACACAGTCTCGACGCCGAGCCGACCAGTCCTTGTTATTTTCCCTTAACGCCATGCGCCAGGAAAGGTAACAACAATTACCATTTTTAACTTCTTTTGGTATGACGCGGACAGGGTTCGAACCACCGAGCTTCCGCTCTCCGGGCAGACACTCTATCCACTAGTCTACAGAGGCGGACCACTAAATGCAATATATGGAACAACCGTATACCTATTCCTAGTGCGATTACATCGTGAAGAGACCCGTGAAGATCCGGGGTAGAATAGGTCTTCAACAAACCATGCTTGCCGTAAAAGGCGACTATGCTTGTCGTACTAGGCGACTAACGGGATCGGGTGGTCAGGATCGCTGACTTGGTTGATGCATGTCATCGTATCCCAATTGCGTGGATCGATGCTCATGATGTCAATCACTGGATTGTCTGGTTCAGACTCGATTATTTACAGACCGCCGTCATATAGCTGTAATATTGCTGAGTGCGGCAAGAAACTAAACATCGGGAAGACATCTCAATCTTACCAGACATGGCATGCATGGCTGCTTAGTAAGTCCCAGTCTTACGCTGAACATCAATATGTACCATATTTAATATCGGTGTATAAAAATAAAAGAAAATAATACTATTCATCATGACTGGACATAGAACAAAAAACACCAGAATATTTTGAGATCTATTTATTTGCACGTCAACTAGACATAGCGACTTCAACACAAATGCCAAGTAACGTTGTGAAACAATAAATTATTATACCAGCTAGCATGTCAGTTCAATAACCAACACAAACGTCATACCGTTGTAGAGAAATAGACAGATAGAAACATCTACACGTCTGGGAAAGCTTCTTCAGAAATACTTCATAACAGTTAAAGCCTCTCACGGGAATGTGACAATTCCGAAACAAGTAGTTTTTAAATTATTGATTTTTATTGAATTTACAATAATTTTGGCAATCTTTAAATGAGTTTTCGCATCTTTTTACATTGGCAGTGACAGTGACAAATCTCATTCAGTGTTTACTGGACTTTTTGATTTACTGCCCTAATTCATTTCAAGTCGGGTGATATGTACACCCCTGTCAATCAGGCATAATAATAAATATCGCACTCTTAATTTACAGAAAATACAAATTTATACAAAGGATGTTGATGAGACGCCCAATACTTACACAACTGTACACACTGATATGCTTTTTTATTAGGGAATAAAGTGATTATTTTCATAAAAAACATCACTGTGTATCATTTCACTGAAGTTTATCCTACTTTTTTCAATTTGATAGATTCGTGTTTGTAAAAATAACAAACCGGTCCAAATACCATTGCCTGCAGACTCAGATTAGAGTTACTTCCCCTTGACCGTTTCTTCACTGTGTCACTAAGTCCATTTCTTCGTAAAGACTGATATGAACATACGCCCTATAAACACGAAGCAAATTGATGAACGTATTGTAAATTTACAAACATTCATTATATAAAATCGTGATGTTAATAATTACCTTTGGTGGGTTTTACAGATATTTGGCACATCGAAATCTCACTACCGCTATAAAAAAACAACCGACTGTGAAATTGACATTTGAAATAGAACGCTTATTGCAAAAATCATGTACATCACAACATTATAATCATGTTAACATCAGTCTATTAAACAATGAAATCGACAACCTTGTCTAGCCTTTGTTTTCGAATAAGATACTGACATCCTGAAGCATTGAACATGAAATATGCAGTAAGCGAGTCTAATCAATTTCAACTTTCTAGAAATGCAACTTTAGTGGTTGAGAAATGACAACGATAAATATTGAAATGTATAATGAATGACAACTCTATGACGACGGGTTATACTTGTAATGACATTAACATTATGGTACAAGACCAAAGTCAACTAACATATACACCGTAACAGCCGCGTACGCAGGCAGATTGTGACCGCAATGGGCTTCCATATTTTATATTGACTCACGTCAGCACCATATAGCTACACGATATATGCAACCAAACTAACGGGACTCAAAAACTTCAAATGTATAACAACCAGATTTAAGAAAATTAAGAACCACGATCGGTTTCATTTCTTCAATTCGAACAAGGATTTGTCCACATTTCATTTCAACATACGACGAACCTTTAAACACGATCATTTCATTAATCGGTTGTGCCCATCATCATACATATTTATGACAATGGTAACAGTAAAGGTTGAGAATACTTACTATTTTAAATGATTCCCAAATCGTAAAATTACATCACTGTCAATTTCACTGATTTGTAAAAACTTTGAAATATGTGTTCTCCATCTGGGAACATCCCTTTCAGAGGTATACGCAAAGCGCACAAATAAACGTTTACTGTGGACAATACTAAAAGTCTAAACTCGTGCAACACACGTCAAGTTTTAGTGCCACTGCTCTGACCACAATGATGTGTTGTTCAAAAAGAGCAACACGTCCAAAATACAATAAATTGTTTAAACTGCCATTTGTTGTAAATACCAACGACACGAAAAGAAATAGACAACGATGTCAATTTCCAAACACTGAAGAAAATAGAAGAAGATACAATGTTTTTGAACAAGAAAAAAGTGCTTTGCCACGCATCGGCGAAAATAGTTGTGGTCATAACAAAAAAATCTAAACGACACAGAACCGGACAGAGACTAGGTCATATGAAATGTACATATGTCTTTTTACGCCCATTCCCATGGTAACCATAACTCATTCTCATTTACGAAAGATGGAACAACCAACTTCAGTTTTAAAAAGTGTAAAACTGAAATTTACGAAAACTATGAACGCAAAAGACATCGAAACGAATCGAAAATGTATTTGTGGAAATGAAGACACGAAAAGAGAGTGAAATGGATATTCAAACATTCTAGTTTCATTCATGAGCCAATATATGACAGATGTTTCTGTGAGTTTACATATTATATTAATATGATCTGTTATTGTCTGTTCTAGCCCATATCGGAGAACCGATAGTGTTAACCTCACAGATTTATAAAAGAACAGTAGCAAGCAAAGGCGAAAAGAAATTTGTGTTGAACCTGATATTATTGGGAAAAGAGACAAGGCAAATGATGTTGCTTTTACTTTAAGCAATTTCTTTTAAAATTCAAATAAAACACTCCCGTTAAATTTCAATCGATATTTTGAAATCTGGCAAATGTCGCAAAAGTCACACGGCCAGGCTGTCAAATGAGCCTAACTGCTGGAAGCACGACACCCACGTGGAGATTTTGACAGGCGGTTAAATGATTGGAAATTGACATTATTGTAAACATTGCACAATGAGTCACCATGTCAGTGGTGTCCATTTCAGTCATAAATACCACAACGCCGTTAACATTTCTCGCTGAAGATTCAGTTTAAAAACAGGGACTTCCAGAAATAATTAATTCCTATTTCCCCATCCGTCGATATCCAGTGGTAGTGGTTCTTTTGATGTCGCTGGTATACCTTGATTAAGTGATAAATCACCGTGTAAGGATACATGTAAAATTGATACGATATTCAACATAAGTGCCACATAGACAACGCACACATATGCTGTAAAACTTTCCAGTATCTCTTCTTAAAAAAAACGTACAACTATTTCACAAATGTGACACGTTTTTTGTCATGCTTTTTTTTGCCACCATCTCAACCATTCTACCATACGTCGTTAACAACTGTTATTATAGACATTCGGTTAAACAAATAATGTTAAATGTCTGCTATGCAATGGCATTTATGTCTCGAGAACAGAAGTAGTTAAAGGCCAAAACACGAACAGCCGCGCAACTGGAGAATTGTCAAATATGTGGCCAAATCTTGGAAAATTGTCAAAGTATCTTTACAGTTAGCTTATGAGAGCCAAAAACACAGATACTGTTTACGTATGGTTGTAGGAAGAATGCCTTGCCACCTGTTTTCATTACAGGGTCGCGACAGGTACAAAATATCGACAAACTGTTAAGACCAGACGCCTAAATTGAATTTAGAAGTTTCATTACCGTTTTGGCTGTTTTATCTCAAGGTTTATGGTCTTCGAGGTATTTCGCTTCCATTAACGTTTCCAATTTTCATTTCGCCAGCTGCTGTTGATGACTGTATCATATGTAAATAAACAACTAACACTGTCGGTGTGCGATTGCTATTTTTGTTTTTTCAAAAATAACCCTTAGTAATGAATGATTTGGGGAACCAAAGTTAACCTTAGAATCTTTTGCATGTTGTTTTAAGAATTAATAATTCGTCGCGTTTCTTGAAAATCTTGTGGCTTTTCTGTCTTTTTCTTACATATTCCTTCAGTTGTATGACCTCATAAAACGTGAGTCTCCAGTTAATGGGAAAAACAAACCGCTCTCATTCAGCGAGAAGGGCAATGTTGATGAGCTGTGTCAAGGTGCTCTTCCAACACTATTACTTTCAGAAAAAAACACTAGTTGTCGTTCATGTACCTTCAAGCACCCTTCAAAAATGTGCTGTCACACTTGTACACACTGTAAACTGCCATAGCTGTCATTGCACACGTCACTTCCGGCCTCACTCTCAACAAAGCGAACCGTGCAACTCTCAGCTTCGTGCAGAAACAGCTCACTTCCGTTCCGGTCCATTCAGCACTCAAGCAATGTAAAACAGCGGTCATACAACTAATGGTTTGGATTCAATGACACCGCTCAGCTAATACAGCCTAGACGTAACATAGCACTCAAAATCCCACCAAAATTAACAGCTGTCAGGTCGAAATTACCATCACAAGATCCAAATACTTTTGATTCAAAATGGAGGACATATCCTTCAGTTACACGTATCAGCGCTGATAATTGGCTGAACCGCTAGTCATGTGGAAGAGGAAGCCAGTAGGAGAAGCGGTGAGTTTCTCTGGGCAAACCTCTTTTGCATTGTGAGCACAGCACTGTAGCTATCCTGAAGACGTTCACTCTGACACTCTAGTTTCGCTTTGAGATCATGAAGGGTTTTGAGCAAAATTTGCTTTCTGTGGATATTGAGTTGACGGTGGAATCTCATCTTCTCTTGCTGTCGGATTTTTTCTTCTTCCTGCGCCTCCTTGATTTTCTGCTCAACGATCCTCTTCTCTTGGCGAAGGAGGAAGACCTTCTCTTCCAGACTTGTTTTAATTTCTTGTAGGGTTCGACCTGACGTTTCTTCTGGATATCTGTTCGTCACGTAGCGCTCTTTCTCAATGTCATTGTCGTCCTCGACGGGAGGTTCCTCTGTTGCTGGAAGAGCTTCGCAGACACACTCTATTTCTGAAATACTGGTTAATATGGGGGTTATCTTCCCCTGGTCCGGTTCCGAGGCCTGGCAAGGTTCTGTTTGTTGATACTGATCCGGTTTGATAAACTGGAACTCATCATCAAGTTCCGTTTGTCCATCTCGTCCTAAACTCGAATATCCTGTGTCAGTCGAATCCTGCATGATATCCCGAACACAACAGTATTTTACACATTCTCCACTGGCTAGGTCAGTACTGCCTTCATCTGAACTGCCGTCAATCAGCCAGTCGGAGTCTTCATCATAATCCTCAAACTCAGTCTGCACGGCAACATCCTTCTGCACATCGTCATCCAGAAGATCTTGCAAAGAAATGTCTCTCTTCACAGACCCCTTTTCAAGCGTATCATCTAAAGCTTCCTCATACTCGAAACTTATATTATGTTCAGGCTCGCCAATATTTTCGTTACAGTTGCAGTTGTCCGTGCAAGGGGAGAGGTCAGTCGAGGCGTCTGTATCCCAGGCCGTGTAGGAATACGCTCCATCCTCTTTAAACGAGGGTAGATGGGAAAGATCCAATCTGCCGCTCCATTTGTCACGATCCAATACCCCGGATGCCTCTGTGACGTCACCTACAGCCGAATCCGGGGACGACGCTGATTGGTCGGTATCCATGAGGCTGTCGGAGGAGGTTGTAGAAAGAGTACAGCTATCCTTGATGCATAGCGACCTCAGCTTGTGGTGGATTGGGCTCAGGGGTGATGTGGTGACCGAGGAGGTGGGGCTGGACGACCCCGAGGAATTAGAGGGGGTGCTTCTGGGAGAAGGGAGCCAGGGATTGGTGCGGATCCTGGACCTGGTCTTGGGGACAGTGTTAAACTGTTTCTCACTATCGCTGCTTATGTTCGCCGCCTCATTTTTCTTGTCGGCCTCTTCTGTTTTCTGATAAGAGGAGAGGTCGTTGTAGCATGTGTATTGATCCTCGCCCAGGGAGTTATTAACACGGTAATTGTAAGTGTCAATATTAAACGTATCGATAATCTCACCGCACACCGATTTGACGGCCTGATTTAGGGCATACTCGCAGCTTCCTTCTGGTGGGCACTTGTTGTTGTTGTCATGGCAACATTCCCAGGATGCGTTGGCGTCTGGAACCTTGTTCTTGTTCTTGTTGGCGTCATAACGCTCGTTGTTCAATGTACGCTGTATCTGGTTCTGCTTCTTCTTCTTGCCGCGGACCCTTGGCAGGGAATTGGCTACAAAGTCTCTCAACTTCATCGTGCCGTGCGTCCCATGGGGGTCACGTCACCTGACCAGCGTCCACTACACTTCACCTGCAACAATAAGAAATAAACATAAATATACATGGAGCTAAGTCTTGCACAGTGTGCATGCGGGTATATCGACACATCGGTTGTAGCGAGGACACTATACAATTATAGACGTTATATGAGGTCAATAAGTGTTTATTTGGACCAGAAAAAAAGCAATATTGACCGATGATAAAGTCTACGAAAACAAGAGTTGACCTGCCATAAAATCTATAATTATTTTTGATATAATAAGATACAGAGCAATATGAAAATAATGTTAGGAGTTCACCAAACGGAGACACCTGATTGGCTACGGTTTGGGGAATACCACTTCCGGGTAATTCTCATTACATTTTTTGTAACTAAAGTCACTACCGAAAATTATCAGACCTGACTTGGAGTCCAAACGCGCCTGTCGAATATTAAAAAGTATTGTTGCACTCTCCTATTGAATAACGAAAATGTTTATTTTTCAGATAGTGAGTGAGTATGGTTTTGCGCCGCTTTTAGCAATATTCCAGCAATATCACGGCGGAGGACACCAGAAATGAGCTTCACACATTGTACCCATGTTGGGAATCGAACCCGGGTCTTCAGCGTGACGAGCGAACGCTTTAACCACTAGGCTACCCGACCGCCCCTTTATTTTTCAGATATATATCGCATTTTTAATAATTGAGCATTGACACTCATAACACAAAGCAGCCCTATGATTAATACATAGTATTACAATTAAAGGCTTGAAACTCCCCCTATCAAGGATCGACTGTAAGCCACTGTGGTAGTACATGTGGTACTTTCGTTATACTGGACTAGATTCTATAAGTATATGGTATGTCGACTTTGTACCTGGAACCGATGATCATCTCTAAGTAAATCTACGTCCCCAACTCAATAAAAAAAAACTCCCAAAATTACCCCTCTATACCAGCACTGCGGTATTTCCAACTCCTTGTGGATCTCGGCAACGCCAAAACGAGACTCTCCTGTTTTACACCTTTGAAACCTAAGCCCCCCGTTATACAGTCGCCCACATCATGCATCATTGTGAACACATTCTCTGTGGCCGGAAGCTAAATAACAACTGTGCCGTGCCTCCAGTGCTAAGCCTCACCACATCGGTGTAATTCACCAAGGAAGAAGACGCTTCCAAAAACAACCGCGACTTAAAAGAACCAGAATGTCATGTCAGATGCACAGAACATATACATATATACCCCGTCAGGCGACGTCATACAGCGTTATGCGACGTCAGATGCACAGAACATATACATATATACCCCGTCAGGCGACGTCATACAGCGTTATGCGACGTCAGATGCACAGAACATATACATATATACCCCGTCAGGCGACGTCATACAGCGTCATGCGACTTCAGATGCACAGAACATATACATATATACCCCGTCAGGCGACGTCACACAGCGTCATGCGACTTCAGATGCACAGAACATATACATATATACCCCGTCAGGCGACGTCACACAGCGTTATGCGACGTCAGATGCACAGAATATATACATATATACCCCGTCAGGCGACGTCACACAGCGTCATGCGACTTCAGATGCACAGAACATATACATATATACCCCGTCAGGCGACGTCATACAGCGTTATGCGACGTCAGATGCACAGAATATATACATATATACCCCGTCAGACGACGTCACACAGCGTTATGCGACGTCAGAAGCACCCACTACAGCGTCAGACTCCTCGTGAGGTAAAATAAATAAGTACCACAGAGCTCAGAATGACACCCACAAAATACTGCCGTGGAAATTTGACTTCAACCACATACATTAGTCTCATGATATTTCCAGCTACATTTGACATTTAGAACAAACGCTGTAGAAACCTCAGAAACCCACTCAGTTTATACCAAGGAAGTTCATAAACAAACGCAACTGTACACTTTATGAGTCAAATATCTTAAGTCGCGTGGATGAAACTTGAAAATATCAAACATCAAACATCAAAGCGGTCTTTTGCATATATTTCATACTAGAAAGGCTAATGTAATAAAAAATGTTCCGTCAACAATTGTTTTTCTCTTTCTTACATTTTAACTTACTAACATTGGTTATGTGATACAATACATCATAACTTTGAGCCACAGCTTTTGTTTGCAAAGGTTTAGTGAGAGTGTGGGCGAGTGAGTAAGTGAGTGACTTTGTAAGTATTTCAGTAATATAACGGCAAGCCAGCTACATGTGGGAGAATAGATATACAGGTCTTGGATGTTTGCCACTTTGACGAAATCCCCGGACACGAGCTTGGTACGGACAAGAAGGAAGTGTAGGTGTTCATATCGACCAAAGATAAAGAAACTAAACCCAGAAGAAACACATTATATTAAAACACCTTTTAAGGAATTCACCCATTGCATTTCTTACCACTGATTTACGTGCATATTTCTGTTTTTGATGACACAGTAATAAGTTAGATGGTTCCTCACGTGGGCGCAAATACGATGTAAAGTAGCCAGGAAGAAATACGGTCATGAAAAAATATAAGGTACAAATTCAAACGAGAAAACCCTCTTTTTAGAGCAATACAGTACGATTCACACTGTATGATACGTTGTGACCTCGGATATTGCCAAATTCGGTTATTACAAATTTAGTTCCGTAAAACATAGGAACTTAGGATTTAGGATACACCGATGTTCATGGTCCTTGACCTTCGTTTAAGCAAGACTGATTGTAGGGGCTTTTAAATATAGAAACTGACAGCTATCAAATATGTCGGCACTGTCTTAGCTATTGAATACGTCAGCAATATTTCTCCAGCTGGGCCCAGCTTGACAAAGGTGAATCAGTTGATGGAAGGTGTGTGCAGCTCATTGTGCTTACCTTAAGTAAAAAGACAGAGGTAATAAGAGTTCTGCCCCATCTGTTCCTCTCATGAGGAAGTGCAACTACAGATGGGCGCTGAGATGCCTGTTTTCTCCTGACGGTCTTGAGTTACCGTAACATCGTGGCAATTGGATTGTACACTGAGCTCATTAACAATGATGTATCGAGGGTGGTCGTGCAAGGCCGTTGGATTGTTTGTTCCCTATTAATCATAATTGTATTCTTAAACGTGAAACCAAAGAAGCAGTTTCCGTTGCTACTTGATATATGGCACTAAGCCTTCCTCTATGAAGATAATACCGGAAAACTCATAACAGGCATATGAATCATATTTTATTATTTCTTGTCGATGGGGCCATACAATGAGTGAGTGAGTGAGTTGGGTTTAACGCCGCTTTTATCAGTTTTCCAGTTATATCACAGCGTGTCAGTTTAATGTGAGAGGAAAGCCCGAAGTGATGCAGGCCTCAGACGTTTACCACTTCGGTGAAACCCACGAGCACGGGTTTGGTGCTGACAAACCTAGAAACATAATCAGGGCGAACCGGGATTCGAACCCACAAACATAGGTTTCTGGCGTGCCCAAAGGGACGTAATTCTGCACACCGAATCGCGGCGCCTTAGACGACTGGGCCCCTCCATACATTGAAAAAGTAAGTTGTTAGTTCAGTTATTGAGGGACGATGTTAGTTTTGTTTATCGCCGCTTTGAACAATAATTTATTTATATCATCTGAATGTTAAGGAAAAGACCAATATAGATATTTACCACTTTGGCGAAACAAGCATAGGTGTGGTGATGACAGACCAAGGATCAAGGATCATAGTCTGGCGAATTTGGGATTCAAACCCAAAGATTAGCTCACCCAGGCACGGCTAAGTGACATACATTGAATTGCGATGTCTTAGACAACTGAACTACCCGTGTAAGATGTTACAGAGATTTGACACACGGAAAGATCTGAAAATCTACACACGGAGGCAGTGGTGAAACAAACAGTAGACGGGTGAGTAACGATACTTCGAGAACCTGTTTCAGTTATGTGACGCGTCAGCTCAAGGGAAGCAACTCGTTTATGTCTACCACGTTTGTGAAACTAACTCGGAGGTTATGGTACCGACACACCTAAGTTCAAAATCGCTGCGAAACTGGGGTTCTAACCTGCTACCACTAGCTCCTGAACAATGAGAAACGATATTTTCGGAATTATAGTTGGCCTCCCCTGGCTCAAGTTGTTAGCTAGGAGTTGTTGAAAGTACGTTAAAATGTGCTTCGGTGATTATTCATATTCGACAGTAAACGTCTGAAATGGTAACTTACTTATATATTAGAACCAAGTTGGGGAAATACGGTAGCAATAACTCCGTCCCATGCATTGACGTCAGATTAAGGGATATAGGATTTCTTGCCTCGCGTGAACAGCTTTTCTGGCAGACGATCAAATTGAGCAGACGACACTCATCGTCTGCAAGCAAGCATTTGGCGGGAAAACGTCAAACCAGAAGGTGAGAAGGTGCTAATATACAAGGATAATAAACATAACAGAAAAAGAAAGTGTTGCTGTAGTATACACCTTGTCTAGGAACATGAGCATTACTTCATGTCTGTCGAAGCAGGCGAAATCCTGACAGCAGAAGTCAACAGATGATGGCGGTTTAGACGTGTGGATAATTTGATTGGGAGATACATGTCTAATGGGACTGGAGGCAAATACATCATTGATGCGAGTCATAAGGCAGGTACACAAATAACTCGTGACATGTGGTACGTGTAGATACAATACTGCTGGGACAGCAATCACTGCAACCGCGATTATCTGGTATTGTATCTCTATTCTATAATGATAAATATCCTGGACCAATTCATCAACATAACCTCGTTTCGTAAGTGACGCCAACACCTTAATCGTAAACTCTCATACAAACCTAGAGCATATATTTTATTCAAATCAACACCAATTGCAATCTCATCTCCTTCTTCTTTCGTGCAGCCTATACTCTTCCAAATTGTAAACGTCTCAGACCTGCATCACTTCGGGCTATCCTCCCATACCAAGCAAACACGCCGTGATATAACTGGAATACTGTTCAAAACGGTCTTAAACCTAACTCACTCACTCACGATACTCATCATTCAGATCAGAAATAAGGAGACATG